GCAAGGAAGTTTTGATATCATTGTAACACTAGACATCATGAGAATAATTCCTGTGATGATAAAACAAAACTCTAAAAAACGAAATAAAAAATGTCTATTCTTTCACATATATAAATTTTATCATTGAATTCAAGTAAATAAGATTGAACTTCCACCATACGTTACATTTCTAGTGGATTGATGACATAAAGAATAAAACTAATAATTACATGAATTGCTGAATTGTTGTTCTTAATTTACATATTTATTCACTACCTACCAATTCACGTATTGATAACGTGTAAGTGTCAACCAACACATTTATTATCTAAATGCAAAACATATGAATTGCCGACGTGACAACTTTGAATAATGTACTACAAGGTAATAAAAGCTTCATATTGAGTAATATGTATTTTAGTTTGAACTAACTAAAGATGATTAAGTGTGTGTGGCATTCTAGGCTAGACACATGAGTAATAAGTATCTAACTCATAGACAATAGAAAAATGTTAGATGATATATATAAATTTGACTTAAAAAGTTGACTTTGAATTTTACAAATATTGTGTTATAAGCAAGCATCACAAATAAATTTTTTATATTAGAACTCGCTATTCCATAAAAATAATTTGAATATATACATAGTATTGTGTGAGGATTTTTTTAAAAATCTTCACTCTTTAGTAAGTTTTACTTTTTATAATTCATTCATGATTACTAAAGATTTGTGTCAATTTAATTCTTCACACTAGTATGAGGTGTTTACAACTTTCAAAAGTTAAAAAGTTGAAGTTAAGATTCAGATTGAAAACAAGCTGGATATTTAGGTACAATATTTATAACAAGAATTATACTTTTAGATTGTTTTGGAATTAGTGCAGAAAGAAGAGCATTATGTATCATTTCACCATGATTTATACTCAACAATGGAATGTTGCTTCTAAAATTAAATCAAATAATGTCGGAGAAGTTTCACAGTATGTTAAAACATTTTTGTTCATATATGAAATTTGGACTAAAATTGTTATTATTTTAGTGTTTTGAATAATTTAGATTTTTTTTCTTGTTTTAGTGCAATTAACTTGTTGATAGTATTTGAATTTATACACAAATGTATGATTGATTATGATTGTTTGAAAATTTTTGATTGTACGATTACTATTTGCATACTTTAGGAGAATAGAATCAAGTTGGATTTTACATTCAAAAGTTGTTTTTTTAAAATATGCAGATGGTATACAAATTTGAAAATTATGAAATCCAATAGCTTATAAGTTATTGATGTGATACAAGAAAAATTTTTAAAGAGAAAAAATTAGAATAGCAAATTATCGTTGAAGAGTCTCACTTATCTATACTCGATGATAGAGATCAATCAAAATTTTCCACTAGGAAATTATTGAATCGGAGTAGTAAGATTTTTGCAAGATATTATGTAAGAATACATTTATTTATTAAGATTATGATATTAATATAGAAGATGATGATTTCATTGCATCAATCTTGGAAGTAAAAAAATATTCTTATAGAGAAGCTCAAGTCTTTGTCACAAAACTTGCGTTATTGTTTCCACAAAGCGTGAGATGCAATCATTGATGTATAAGAAGACCTGAAAGCTAATGTAGTTTTCAAGAAATCAAACTTTAATTGATTGCAAATGAATGTACAAGCTATAATATAATCCAATAGATGACAAGATCAAAATCTTTAAAGCAGTATTGATGACTACAAGTTTCACACAAAAGAAAGATATGAATTATAACAAAATATTTTCACATGTAGCAAATATATTACAATTCAATTGGTTTATGCAATTGCTATAAAATTTAGTTCGATTATGAATTAAATGTATGTAGTTAATGCATTTTTTAATGAATTTTTAAAGAAATAAAATTACATAAATTTACATGAGAAGAAAGGTAAAGAGAAATTGATTTGTACATTTTTATATCATTATTTGGATTGAAGAAAAATTCTATGTAGTATAATGTGAGATTTGATGAATTCATGAAATCACAAGATTTTTCTCGAAGTGCGTATAATACTTTGTATTCATGAAAAAGATCAATAATGAGATACTTAATTGTATTATTCTTGTATTTTACGTGGATGACATTCATCTTGGTAATTTTTTTTTGACTCCACATATGCAAGACTAGCAAAACCAACATTCAAAATGAAAGATTGATTTGATAAAAGATAATATTATATCATTAATAATATCAACTTCTAATAAAATTTTGACATTACTCCAAATCTTCATGTTAAATATCTAGCAATGACAAATCATTTTTAGGATTTGTTAAATATTAAAAATGATTTTTCATTCCTAGGTTATGTTGATGCTAATTATGAACAAGATCTGCAAAAAAATAATAATAAAAAACATATTTACACTTGATAATGGATGCACTAGTTGGAGATTTATCATGCACAAGTGCATAGCTCAGTCTACAACAAAAACTAAATATGAAAAGACTATAGTTGCAGCAAAGGAAGTTATTCAAATGAATAGGCTTTTCATTAAAATGAGAATAAAACAGAAGGTTGTCAATCTTCATTGTGATAACCAAAGTTGTTGCAAATCAAATGATGGACAGAAAAGTGAAATAAATTGACATTATATATAATTTCTTTGACATGTAATTTTTGATAAAAATATTAAGATTGTCAAAATTGACAGTAAATCTAATCTAGCTGATGCGTTAATCAGCGTTAATTTCTTCAAAGGTCTTAGGATACATTGTTTTAGTATGCAAGTTTTGCATTAGAATCACAAGTAAAATATACAAGTAATTATAATAAACATTATATATTTTTACTCTATCATAGTTTGGCTATGATTTAGTTTTATTTAACTTTAATTTAGATTTTTTTTCTTGAATTTACATCTAGTTATTTTTGTAAAATAATTATACAGGTTCTGGAGATTATTATATCTCTTACATGAATTAAGGAGAAGATTGTAAGTATTAATTCTTGTTAGAAATATTGTCAATTGTTGTTGTGAGATTTTAGATTCACTTGATGATTTGCCAGTGTGCGATGTTGAATATCTAAGGCAGCAAGATCTAGCTTGACGTTTAGAACATTGTATCATCTCGATGGGAGTGTTTAGTGAAGTAGATCACGATACAATTTGGTTTATGGTTTCTTTTTATTTTTTGTTTTTGTGTATTCTTCGTCTCATATACAACTATTGATAAAATTGAATGAGATAAGTATGTCTAGAACCAATGATACAATAAAAGGTGTTGAATAAGTGATATGGATATACAAATTAATGACATGAAGTCCAATGAAAGCATTACAAAGTGGAAAGTTGAATAACATTATTCTTTTGGAAATCTAAAGCATAATACTTTTTGGCTCAAAGGCTTTTGGTAGTAATAGCTTGTTAAATTTCTTGTCTCTCTAAGATTCTAGGCTTTATATGGCTCTTCTAGTTGTGAGGTTAACTCTGCTTGCTAAGTCATATTCACAAATAGCCGCAAAAGACAAGACAATACTTCCAGTGTTTCGGTCATAAGTGTTTAGTTTCAGATAAAATATACGATTGATAATAAAATATTTGTGCATGTTGACATTTCGTACATACAAGACAAGCTGTGCAATGAAGGATGTGACTTTTTCGTGCAATAACATAAACTCATTGCGAGAGTTATAATAGATATACTTTTCAATTGCCCTCGGGTTGTACCTTCGCTTGCGTTTTGTTGGCTTTGTGACCGAGTCGATGATACTTCATCTCTTTTTTTACACGTTTCTTCCGAACCTTTAAACTAATCCTTCAACAACCATGTTAGGTTCTGTAGGAATCAGTTCACTCTTTCAACGGGCGCAACTTAGAAACCAGAAGTCAACGAAACCTGTATCTCTTCATTTATCACATAGGCCTCGTCTGCTCCTGATTTAAAAGCAGAATCAAGATCTTTTGGCCAGATAGTTGGATACAGTTGGATATAGAAACAGACAAGAAGATATTATGCGATGTAAAAGCAACGGAACCAAGGCTTCCAGCGAAAAAACATGCTGTTGTAGAGCTGCTTTCAAATTGTGATTCAGAATACCTGAGTTCAATGTGACTGGAACACGTAAAAAAAGTGTGCAAGAGAACAAGGTGGAGAGAGCCACCACCAGGAGTGCCATCCCCAGGTACTTCCTCACAGCTAACTTTTGCCCACTTTCTAAATTAAAGTGGTCAATCTGCGTTCAGAAGCGGGTCAAAACAAAGGGCCGCCAACTATAAATGGCTTCAAGATTTCCACACAGTTCCCGGATGAGAATGAAAGCAATGCATGACCAATATCAGAAAAGTCTGGAAAGGCTTTCAAGTGAACCAATTTACAGACAAGTGATGCAAGCAAGTGAAGGTGTGGCAATGGGGGCCAGGATGAGTCATTGATGTGTTTCAGATGCCACTTCGGGTCGAGTACCAATCATGGAGTGCTGCATATTAGCTGACAATTATCGACTACTTTCCTAGGGTCAGAAATTTTTGCCCGATTATTGCTCGAGTTCATCATTAAAATGAAGATTGAAATTTTAAGGTGAAGCTTTGTGAAGCCGAGTCTAATAAAATTTATTGACATATTTAGTTGAGTTGTATATAAGTATTCCACTTTCTATGAGGTCACCTTGCCACGAAAAGACTACAGTCTGTATAGCCCAGAGCAATTTTGTCACAGCATGTTCATTCATGTATGCCGCACTTTATGTCATGTACTCTCAACTAAAATCTGAATTTGGAAACGTGTTGCATTATGAGTTTAAAAGAGACAAGTAATCTCTTGTTATTTAGCATATTTTCATGGTCGCATGAATGTTTTAAAACTTCTCGAAATATTTCAAATTTGATATAGTTTTTTAGATTGGAAATTAGCTATTAGAATTATATTTCAATAAGGAAATAATATTGTGAAAGATAAATAATCAATACATATAAATATGAAATTTACGTTAATTATATTCTCAATGCATACTTAGATTATATTCAATAAAACTTTAAAAAACCACGTAACTGGTATGTTTGAATTTTTTATTTTATAAACAATATATACAGAGATGGCACATGCCTGCCTGGGTTTAGTTATTTTCGTTCCTGAGGAAAGAACTTCGTTGCTTCAGATCATACGAGCGAGCCATTGTTTGATCTGATGAATGTAACATAACAATGCGAAAGTAACTTGCACAGAGCCCAACCTACTGGTACCTATAAAGCTCGAACGCTACAGGAGGCTCGTTGCACATGCCGCGTCTGCAGGAATTGCTAAAAATGTGCAGACAACATGAACATCGAGACTGGCTGAAAGCACCAACCATTCCACGTACCGGAGCTTGCAAATGCCCGCAAGCTCAGGATCACGACGAGAAGAGCGACGGGTGTTGGTTGCGTTGCGTTGCGAGCGTTCACTCGCAGTTTGGAGCCATGGAAAACTCGTTTGGACAAACTGTCTTGCTAATACTCGCTTGCTTCATGCGGGGTCTATGAGGCAAAGAGCTCCATTAGAATCAATCATTCAAGGAGTCCGTTTTGAAATCCGAATCGTCCGGAGAAGACAAGGAGGTACGTCTTGATTGAATCGTTATTTTGTGGTCGCTCAGCAAGAGCTCATCCCCTGGACTGAGACCTCCCTTCGATCGGACTGCTGGAGGTCTTTAAGACGCACCATGCAGTTTCTGGATCCAGGGTACAAATCTCAATCGCCATGGCTCCGATCCTGGAGCATCAATCGATTTATGACGATGGGCGAAGACGGCTCAGAAGGAATGCCCAGGATAGCGAAAACGAGAATTTTGCAATGCTTCCACTCCCTTCCCAACTCGTCGCGTGATCCATGAACGAGCTCTTCCCACAGGAATCAAATAAATAAACGAACGTGCAGCATGCGCGCAAAATGGTGACTGCCATCGTACCGGAACTTCTTCGTCCCGGGGCGGGGTCATCTGAAGCTCATTCAATTGTAGAGGTGGAGAGGCAAGCGGGGGCGCGCTTCTACGAGCTGTTCGTAAGGCCTGATCAGAGTCAACCCGGGCTTCTCAGAAATCACATCGACCTCGGAGGCCTCCATTCCGTGAGGCCGCAGGTCGAAGCTGTGGACGAGGGTGGCCACGATGAGCTGCACCATGGTGAACCCGAGCAGCATGCCGGAGCAGCCGCGCCGCCCGGCCGAGAATGGCAGCAGCGTGAAGTCCTGGCCGAAGATGTTGGTGTCGTGGTTCTCGAAGCGCTCGGGCTTGAACTTGTGCGGCTCGGGCCAATTCTTGGGGTCCCGGTTGATGGCCCAGAGGTTCATGAGCACGGTGCAGCCCGCGGGGATGTCGTAGCCTCCGAGCTTGGTCGCCTGCACGCTGCAGTGAGGGATGGCCAGCGGAGTGGGCGAGTGAATCCGCATCGACTCCTTGACCACGCACTGCAAATACTTCATCTTCGGGAGATCCGACTCCTTCACGGATCGATCCCTCCCTACGACTCTGTCCGCCTCGTCCTGCAGCTTCTTCATCAGCTCTGGATTCCTCGTCAGCTCCGCGATCGCCCAGTCCGCCGACAGCGACGTCGTGTCGCTCCCCGCGACGATCATGTCCTGCATCCCACGAAATCCGCTCAAAATCATCCCCTCCGAGCTTCAAAATCCTCCCCATCAGACTTCGAATCTCATCGTGTCCAGTACGTCCTTCTATATGCATCATATCGTCTAAAATCGATGAATGTCGCGCATCCGACGTACACTCGACACACGATCGATCGGGAGGAGGCTTCGGGCGTCGAGTCAAGCATCGACGATCCAGTGGGGAATAGAGAAATTTCAAAGCACACGTCGCAGGCTGGGGGAGGGGAGGGGAGCTGGTACTTACAAATAGAGCGCCAGTGACGGCATCGTCGGAGAGCCCGTTTTCGTCCTTCAGAGAGAGGAGAACGTCGAGGACGGCGATGTCTTGGGGCTCCATGGCCTCGCCCGTGATCTTACGACGCTGGATGTGCTCGGCGATCAGTTTCGCGGCGACGTTTCTCATGCGGCTTTGGATGCTCTTCATGCGGCGGATGATCCCCGTCAAGTCCAGGTACCGAGCGATGGGAATGTACTCGCCGAAATCGAACTCCGCCGCGACCTCAAGCGACTCCCTCACCACGTCCTTGAGCTCGTCCATGCTCAGTCTCTCCCCGCCGCCGACCTCCAGCTTGTCTCGATCCTTGCCGAAGATCATGTCCAACATGATGTTTAGACCCAGCGCGTGCAGCTCGCTCGAAAGCTTGACGGCCGGACCCTCGATCGCGTGCCGGTAAATCGACTTCACGGTGGCACGCATGCCATTCTCCCGGACGCCCTGGCTCTCCATCACACGTCGCGGAGACAGAAGCTCGGAGCTGTAAATCTTGCTCAGCTTCTTGTAATGGTTCCCCATGGGTGAGAACACCAAGCTCTCGAAATTCATGCCGATGTACTTCCCGGACGCCAGGAGAGGCCTCGAGGCGAAAACATGATCCTGGTCCTTGAGAACCAATTTGGCGAATTCACTGTCGGACACAATCACCGTCGGACACGATCCCATTCTCAGGTAGACCAAGGAGCCATATTTGTCCGCCAGCCGTTTGAACATGTGATGGGCTGGCTCACCCGGGATTGCTCCCAGCAGAGGCAAGGATCCGACGATGGGATACACCCCAGGGCACGGTGGCAGATTGAGCTGCGCAGCTCGAGGCCTGAGTATGGAAATCACGATTCCTAAGACTACCAATCCAGCCGAAAGAGTAAGGACCCATCCCCACAAGGGGATGGCCGTGTAATCTGCGTAATTCATGATCTGCATACTTCAGCTGCGAATTCCGCAGCCATGCGCACCTGTTATTGAAATCTCCCGGGAAGAGCAGGGTTTCTGCGGGAGATGTGAGTTTTATCTGATTCAGGAACTGAGATTAGAATCATTGGCACTCGTAAGATAAACGAATAAGTCGGTGGCCTATTACTTTATTCCTTCTATTCCAATTTTAGTCGGTGGTCCAAAAAGAATATTAATTGCTTTACATACGTGGCGTGAAAACATCGATGATTGTTTCATGCACACACCAATAAGAGAGAGAAAGACAGAGAAGTCATGACTCTGACACAGCAACAGGACTTGAGGCAGAATGTACCTTGATTTGTGCCGGGTCTTTCTATGGACTTTGATATTGATTTGGCAGCAAGGAATCATATGTCAAATTCTAATTCACTCGTAACGTTGCCCATCCAATGTCACATTTCTAAGCTAAGCACATCCTGTCCATTTTGTTCGTCGGTAACCCACAGGTCATACATGTTGTGCGCGTCGTAATAGTCGTTTTTTAATTTTTTCTGAAAAGTGTCCTCATGCAAAGCTTATTTCTACGAGGACCTCTCCTAAACTCTCTAACGTCGAGTAGGGGAGAATATCTCATTAACTTTACGCTTTTGTTGCTACATTTGACTTGTACCATAGTCATTGACCTATGTTTTCTAGAGTCTTCTAGATCTTCAATATGAGATCTTCTTGTCACCCAGAAGAGCTGAAAGTGAAACCGGTGAAATGTACAGATGTGGGCTGAGTCAAAGATGAGAAGTTTGGATGGTCAAGGAAGTAGAAGGTGTGAAGTCTTCACAACTTTTATTATGGAAATAAAGAGTAATGTATATTCTCCTTGTCTCGGGAAATTAATAATGTTAGTTATGATACATATTTTTTTTGCTGCAGTTAGTGGAGAAAATACCTCAAGTCAATTCATTCAAGTCAGCTTGACTTGAATGAAGTACTTTTTTTTATCAATCTTGCATTTGAGAAATGATGGTGACTCATCACGTGATTAGTTATTGCTGATGTTGTAGTGGGGCGTGGTGTTAGTAAATCTCCCAAAAGCACTCAATACCCTCCAGTGTATACCACTCCGAGTTCGTTCCCACGAAGACTTATAGTTTCCTTCTTATTAGACAATAAGCTACCTTTCCCTTTCTGATTCTCTTCCTTCCGGACGTGTTACAGGTGTGTCAAGTTCTCGAATGATCACTCTTTAGATCCGGAACTTGTCGAGGTGGAGAATACTTTTTTGATAATGAAAAAATCAAGACAAAAAAGTTTTAATGAGCAATGAATCCTATATTTGTTATTTATGTTACGTATGTGTGGTTTAAGATGAAAGACAAGTTGAATTTGATTGACAAAATCTTGAAATTTTGTAGTAATTTGATTGTAAATTTTTTTTAAAATTTATACAAATTAAACTTTCTTGGCAAGGTTACTCGAGGTTCTTTTGGCGCTTGTGAAACTGGATCTGCCACGGGAGTAGAATATGGATCGGATCACGAGCAACTTAGAATTGTTTTATGGAGTTTTGTAGACTGAGATTCTCTTGTTATAGCTCTTACAACAACCGGGTTGCAACATGACAACCAAATCGTGCATTTGGATGTTCATGTGTCATCCATCTTGATAGTGGACTCTAGTCAAACCGTTGCAGACGACAACTCACATAAAATTCAGAAGATCACTTGAAGCTCCAGAAATTAAATTTGTAACAGTCTAAGCAAGCAAAAGTTCGAACCAGTAATTTTCGAAGCTAGAAAATTGAAAGTAGTAATGATATTGGATAAGCAAGTACAATTGATGTTGACAAGAGTGAGAGAATTTTCCCTTTGTTTACAGTCTCTTTATTTACAATGCTAGGATGCTACTGGAAAATTCTCAAGTTGGAAAGTTGTTGATAAGTTCTTGTGGAACTAGTGAATGTTTTGAGGATAACACGAGGAAAAGAGATAACAAGTATATAATAAATGAATATGAACTGAGCAAAATGGCTTCTTGACTGCAGTTTTTATCAATGAAAGTGATAAAAACTTATCATTTCATTGAAAACTATAAAAGACGTTTAATTCCAAACTTGTAGTACGTTATGCATTATTTAAAATAAATAATATTATACAAAAATTATAAAATTTGAATTTTATTTTTTTTATACATGAGTAAATTTTAAAAATTTTACAAGCGATTTTGACATAAGACTTTCGTTTTTTAAAATTATTTCTCTTTGGTGCAAAAAACAAATGAAAATTTTGTTGATCGAATTGTAACAAAAAAAAGGACATTTCAAAAATCTCTTGGTGAGTTGGCATCACATAATGTCCCGTTCTAATAACATGTCTTGAAGGAGACATAGAACAATCCGAGTAAAATGAGCCTTGTTGTAAATAACTGAGAGTTGATATGATTTCAACTTTGAAACAAATCGAAGTTAAGAAGATAAGTTGGTAAATTGCAAGTAGATCCGAGATATTAAAAAGATCATAGAATCACGAAACAACAGAAAACGATGTGTTTAAAGCTAGAAACTAATGCACACTCGGTGCCAAAGTTTATGTATAGTTAGGATTACAATTTTGGTGATTACAATGACACAAGTCAATTTTGAGAGAAGAGATGCACGCAAAAGTAGCGTGATGACTCATGTACAGAGCAAAATGCATAGCATTCTAAGAAAAATCCAACCGGAGGCCAAAAGGAGAGATTTAAAGTTTTGTGATGAATCGAGATGTCTCAAATCACTTCTCTAATGGCTTCTACCTGCTTAGAGTTACTACCGGATACCGGATGTATTCCCGGTAACATCTCAACTCTACCGCAGAAGCGTAAAAAGGTATGTCCCAAGAGTAGGTCTGGGCCAAAGTTAACAACAAACTCGTCCACCGACTGAGCCGGTCTCATGGCAACAGGCAGAAGCCGCTGACGACGGCGTGATCCCGTCCAGAGCGACGGCGCAGAGTATTGGATCGAGATCTCTACCGGGAATGTTCTGCACCAGCTGCCGAACGGTGTATCATTACGGTCTTCATCGTCGCAATACGTCGCAGCAGGCGCCGTCGTCGCGGCTGCTCTGCGGATCCTGTCGAATCGTGATTTCTAGAGCTTTCATGAATTCTGCGTCCCTCGTGTGAGCCTTTCTCAATCTCTGCGCAACTCTCCGCCCCTCGCACGTCTCCGCCTCTCAGTTTCTCGAGTGCAGACATGTCAACAAATTCGAGCTCGAGCTAGTTTTATAAAGAGAGCAAGACCCGGCGAGTCCAGCGAGTGCGGAGCGCTGTCTTTCTCGCTCTCGGACACATGAGCTTGTTGTAGATTTTAAGTTGAATGCAAGATTGTTTTGGGATCCCGGGTCGAGCTGAATTACTTGAGTGCTGAGCCTCAGGCTGCCCAAACTATGGGGAGACAAAGAGCGCCCGCCAAGCGACGAAAGACGACGAGCAACAAATCGACGAGGCCAAGAGGAGGAGGTAATGGCCAGTCGATGGATGTACGTCTCCTATAACATAATAAACCTATCGACGGATTGACTCCTCGAGTTATCGGTAACTCGAAAAAGAATTTCTTATTGAAGGAAGCGACCGGCAATTGATTGCCCGAATCATTTCAGATGTAAAGAACGAGCGCCATTCTTGTGGTTGAGGAGATATCAGAGTCGAGAAATGCGTATCGATCGGAACTCCGTTAGATTTTGTGAGCCGCTGGCTGCGACCATCGATCGGAGGACCTAGGGAATAGTTTCGTATAATCGAGTTTGATGAAGAATCGGTTTTGTGCACGTCGACCGCTTGTTTGTAGACGAGATCGTGTCCTGAGTTGGGCGTCAAGTGAGGGTTTTGTCTCATTAACATAATCACATCGAGACTCAAGACGTTGATTTACGATGACATTTGTGGCCTTGTCAGCATTCTTCCGGCCTCCTGCGAAGAGCAAGACGAAAATTCTGGCCGACATGCGCAGAGAAAAGAAGCGACCCAAGAAGGCGATGGGAGCTTACATGTATTTCTGTAAGCTGAACAGGAAGAAGGTGCAGACGTCAAACCCGACTATGACTTTCGGCGAAATTGGCAGAGTTCTCGGAAGCCAGTGGTGCACGCTGACCGATAAGGAGAAGAAAGTGAGCCTCTGATTCTAATCTTTCCCAGTCGATCTCATCACCAGAGGTCTTTATGGACCGGCTTGAGCACTAGACTTCCTCCTCTCCTCTGCCTCACCTTCTCACTTCGGTCAAACGCTGCTGTTAATCTGAACTCGCTCCAATGAGTTTACACAATTCGGAAGTCAGCAAACTGCGTTCTCATCGGCTTGTCTGCCAGAGAATATCGGGAGCAAAGTAATGTCTCGAAAGATGTTCGAGAACATCCTCGAATATGTCTGTCCAGATGGACATTTGTCTTCCACAGAAACTGCTGCTTCCAGGGAATCTTGTCAAAGATTACCTGGAACGATGGCTCCTGCTCTTTTCATCTTTTCTTCAGCTTACGGACATCGATCGTACAACCTGTCGTACAGTGCCGTCGTCGGCACGTGGCCAAGCTGACGTTGCTGCTGTACAGTCTGTCTGCGGTCAACACTGGATGTGGTAGGACTTGTATCAATGACTCGTAGCTGTCCGGTCCTAGTCCGACCATTCAGGTGCGCGGAATCTGACTCATGGGTTCTTATGCGAAGATTGGCCTGGCTCTGGCTCTTGGTGTGCAGAAATACATCAGAAAAGCTGAGACAGACAAGGTGCGCTACGCCAAGGAGATGAAGCGATTTGCTAAGTAGAGCGGGGAAAGTGCCATCCTTTCGCCCAGGTGCGCCGAATTGAGAGGAGTTCCAGTACGTTTAGAAAGATCTAGCTGTCCCGCCCCTATCCACCGAACGAAGGTGGCAAATACCCTGGCCTGTAATATCTGGAGGGGTGATAAATTATGTGCTTCAGACCTCACTCGAATCCCGCTAATGCAGGAAGAAGTGCGAGGAGCACGAGCTGTCGAGGGTCCAAAGGGAGAGTGTTTGTGGCATAAGTCTCGCACATCTCTCATTTGTTCTTTTGTTAGTCAAGTCGAGATCTTGACCTCGAGGAGACGTTAGCGTGCTCCTCGAGTTATATATGATACTAGAATGTCGACAATACTGTCGAGGCGCTCTGAGATTCAGAGTTGTCTGATGATAAGAATGCTGGCCGAGGCGAAAATAATGGTACACTATTTTGATATAATCATGTGATATGGAAAAGATGCCCCAGTTTTGATGACAGGTAAGTTTAATATTCACTAATTATCAATGTGACCTTGGAGCCCATCTAGCAGACATGTTACTTGAAATGAATGAGCCGTTGATGTAGTCGAGCGTTGCTGGTACGTTGATTTGTCATCAGTAACGAATACTGAAACGATATTTGATTAGTTTTGGTGGCTAGTGAAAGGGCTTTGTAACAAAAACAGCGCTCTCGAGATGGCTCGCAGATCAGGTTGCAAATGATATCGTTCTATAACGCTTGCAAACCTGTAACACTTGATTGCACCGAGATAGAACAGGAACCTCGATCGTAAAACGAAAGATACTTCATTAAAAAAATGCACCCACTAATAAGGGCTAAGCCATAGTACATTTGTTTAAGGCACACCTTTCCAACAAGGTGTGCTTCTGGTACAGAGCTATCATTCAAGCACGCTCTGCATCATTTAACAACCCTAAGCCAAGGGAGGAAGTACGTATGAAAAAGCTAAGGGATATGGTAAGTACACGAGCAACCCAAGAAGTAAAACTGCGACTCCCAAGGCCAGATCGGTCTGGTCTGGACTTGTGAGCTCATCTGACTGGGGCGTTATGGGCCCTCTTTGAAGGAACACAATAAGAACCACCCAGTAGAGAGAAACATCATTAAATATGCCCGTAAGACCGAGTAGTCCGACCGAAACTCCAGTCAACCGTGACCACGCCTGCATATCAAGAGAAGTATGTTATCGCTGGACGGACTACAAATCCAACATGGACGACGAGGGACGAGTATAAACAAGCCATTTGAGATGAGCTTACTTGACTCGCACAAGGAGTAGCTGTGAACGGAAGTGTCAGCATTAACTCCCAATTGTTGATCAACTCCATTCATGATGAGATTCCTATAGGTCTATCAGGACATACCAGAAAAACTTCTTTTCTTCATTTGTTGCTGAATGCGCATTTCACGGATCCCAAGACAAGTCACATATGTTTGATTCTTTAATCATGGCAGTACACTCGAAAGACTCTAAGAAGTCTAGGTATGGTTGGTGCACTAACCTTTCTTCCCCACAGGGCCTGTACGACGCGACCACCATCTAGCTCACCGACAGGAATGCTGTTGATGGCATTGATAAGCAGGCCAGCCCAAGCTGATAGAACTATTGGATTAACTGAGACTTTTGCCCCTTCTTGCAATGTATCCCCGAGGATCAATTTAGCTGTATACACAGGATGCAACTCAGATAAGTGGTCAAGGTCAACGAAGTTAGCAGCAGAATCGACCTGTCAAGCAATCCCTCATCTACGGACATGAAGTCGAGCTCACTGTAACTGTAATGTTGAACAGCGAACAGCGAGATACATAAGTGCATGTCTCTGCTGTAGAAAGAAACAAAACAAAAATCAGCAGCATCGCCCCACACTGCTGCAGAACCAATGAAGGTCATCAGACTAAGGCAAGCCAGAAATAAGCATGTCTCTGCTTATTTCTTGAGTCCTGGATACTACAGATTACCAGACATTACAGAAGCAAGAGAAGTTCCTTTTGTTCTACACAGATTATTAGCTAGTGCTATTTATAAAAGAGCAATAACGTTCGGTAAATTCCTTAAAAATAATTTAGTTGGTGTATATCACAATATTTTATATTGTGATATTATTGGGGCCTAGCCCCTGTTATTCCTTCCGTTTCATCCTTAGGCTTCATAGTTCTTCCCATCAAGCGTAAGTTTTTGTTTAGGGTTTTATTTTTGATTATCCACTTGGCCCCCATTTCATATATCTTATTTCTAAAAATCAGGAAAAGAAGTTCGTAGGATTGGGAGCCGAGAAAAAAGGAGATGAGTCTGAAGTTCCTTCAACGTGGAAATGTCACTATGTATCAAGATCTTCGTGCATTCTATTAGCAGAGATATATCCTCAAGGTAATTTTGCTTTAGTCCAGGTTTGAACCCATCTCTAGGAAACACTAATGCGCAGTAACAAGCAGTTGAGAAAAGTCCACTTACCAAGTCCACCTACTAGAAGAGAGTCATGAAATGCACCAGCATCAACTACAATTCCTTGTCCTTCTCCAGGAGGCAACAGCAACCCAATCAAGATGATAGTAAGGCCGAAGAATGCTCCAGCGAGAGGCCCAGCGGCAGCTAGCCTTAATAAACCGCTTCGATTTCGTATGATGTTCGTAATTCTTGTAATTGCTCCGAATGATCCCAACTGTTGCATGGTCATCATAAATCATCACCTCAGGGTCACACTTGAAGAACAGATGTTTGAACGAAATTGTGGAAGGTAAAATATAAATAATTCGAAATCATGAACGATAAACTCTCGCGTGAACCCATGTAGATACTTCCACATAATCAAAAGAATTTTATAGATTAATTCAAGTAGCTTCAAATGCTTACAAACATAGCCATTGTAAACCGGATAAGCAGCTAGGAAACTAGCCCATTTAACCGCAATTTGGAATGGAATAATTTCAGCAATTAAATTTAACAGTAAAATAGATTAGTTGAAAAATGGCTGAGAGTCAAACCTGCCAACTTGGTATGAAGTAAGGAACTGACAGCTTGGCACCAACTTGCTTAGCAGCATACAGATGACCAGCTTCATGGGCCAGAAGCACACCTGCTGTAATCGCACCTCCAAGTAAGCCTTCTGATATGAGAGTTGGATCGGCATTGTTTGTTCTGTTATATGAGACAAAAGACTGAATAAGGAGAGCTTTACTAGAACGATGCTTTGCTTCTTGAATGGGTAACAACCAAAGCAGAGACAATACCACGTTAAAATCCACACGATACACAGGAGAGGAAGAAATATATTACAAGAGGGCAAGCTGTAGAGTCGGGGCATTGCGAAGCAATATAGTGAATATGCAAACAAGTCCAAAAGCTCCAGCTGCTGCCCATTCTGGCACCGCTGGAGAACAAAGTCAGGGAGTTTTTTTATCAGTTCCAACTTTACTTAGCTTTCAGCTTTGTTGCTGATAACCTCGTGTTTCTAAAACGATAAGTAAAAAACAACAAATCCAAGAAACATGATAAATGCATAATTTCAATTGCACGAGAAGTAATAAGCTGACCCAGATTCTTCATTGATCGGACATCGATCTATAATGCCATGACAAGCCAAACACTTACCTCCAGGTCCGGGTTCCAAAGACTCTTTGGGTACAATGACAGCAACTGGTCGTTCGTCTGTTGGATTCGACAACAAAAATAACCTATATTTCCCCCCAAATTTTTCCTGTAAACGCTTTTCCAATTTGGTGTAGCTTTTTCCTGCTTCACCTCGCAAATTTCCTTTAAAGAGAACTCCCCCCTGATAAGAAAACGTGAAACTTCTGGTCAAGCAGTGACATATACCGGTTTTGAGCTGCTGCCTGTGATTCACTTATATTAGCGTAATTATAAAAGATTCTCAAACTTCTCACCTCATAAGGCTCTTGACCTGTCACAAAAAAAGTGTCGAAGCCGAAGACTTGGTCGCGCAAAGTGTCAATCACCTCCTTCGGTAGCCTGGCTGTCTCACTAGAAGACTTGCAAATATCCATGACCAACCCACCCAGCCAACCCAACAAGCATATACAAAACACACAAAAAACACATCAATACAAATATATGCAGAAGGACTTGGTCCCCACAAATTCAATAATCGATCAAACTCTGCTGAAACTCTTAATTTCGACAAGTTAATGATCAACTTTGAAGACCGAATAACATCACACCAGCTCTTTCTGACAATGTGTAAAGTAGTCCCTCCTGAATGATATCAAATGCAGTCTTTACGATTGCAGTGCTTATGGGTTCCAAGCAAGCAAAGAGACATACTTTTACTCCTGGAAGTGGAGATCCCATCGACACCTTGTCATCCTCCGCAGCCTGACTCATAGATTGGTGAACAAAAACCATAAGGTTTCAGAAAGTTTATAGTAAAGCAGCATCCTTGTCCAAGGCTGAAATTTTGATATCTGAGTTAAGAATATTCTAGACATACATACCTGCTCAGTGGACAGATTTGAAGGTTCACTCGAGGATGACTTAACAGACGGATCGTGCGTCTCGTTCATTGAAGTCTCTTCTTTCTGCAATGTACAAGTAATAGCAAAATAACTAACATGAGCTACGGCCTACAATGGCAAGTATCCTGGATGCTGGATGCCAGACGCATAGATAGAAAGAGTTTCTACATTTAAGCGCATCAACAGCTTACCTTGCTCTCACTGGTGTCATTATTTTTATTTTCATCTTCAGCTGATGCTTGAACTGAGGTTTTCAGTCTGGATGAGTTTCAAAAACCACAAAAATACGATTTAGACATGATAGTTGAGCTAAAAAAATAAAGATATGGAAGTAATCTCCTGGAAGGTTGGTTGTAGCAGTTTCATCAGCTTCTCTAACATGCTTTCCCGCATGTGAATCTATTCTATACAGCTCGTTACAACATCATTAAGGTGAGGTGATCTTTATGATAAGACAGAAACCTGTAGAGTATCAAAGCAGCTAACCTATCAGTATGATCTTTAACTTTTGTGGGCAACTGGTTACGAAGTTGATGCAGGATCACACAAATTTCTGAACAAATAGACGTCTTGTATTTGGAATTCTTGTATGAATTGTTATTTGAAAATAATTCTTGTTTACTAGTGAAACATATGATGTACATCCTGCGGAATCGATGCACAGGTAAATTTTACTGATATAGTTCTGTTTATGCATCCTGCATAAGTCTACTCGATAAAACTTAAACCCAGTAACACATATGTACAATGCAGCGCAATTTGGCAAAGGAATGCAAATTGTAAGTGGTGAGACCTCCTTATGATAAAATTGGACCTTCAAAGCTCCCATCTCTTTAAATGCAGCCAAGTAGAACTTAGGAGACTCAATATTTTCAGAATGCGATCCTTAGAAAACAACAATTGCAATTAACAATACTGACGCATCAAATTCGAAATTCGCAAGGCATTCACGCACACCTTTTCTCTTTGGTGAAGCCGAGGCGCCTCCGTGGAAGAGCAGCTCCAAGACTCCTCCATCGTGAGGAATTTCCAACACATGAGACGCAGGACCGAAGCCCAGCGTTCGGAGAACTGAATCTCTTCTTCAACACTCCCCCGGCATCAAGAATCGGCAGCCCAGCGGCCGCAAGCTGGCACACACTCATTCCTCCCTGCCTTTCTCCTCGTCCTTCACAAGAATGCCTTCTCTCAATTTCTTATCCACAACATTCCACAAATTTTCAAGACATACTCTGCAACCAAATCATAATTCAAACTCCTGACCTGAAAATTCAGTCCTCTCTCAAGATTCCACTCCCCAAAAATTCAAACTTTCCCGTCAGCTCCGTCCGTCTAAGACTCAAATCCTCTCCTCAATTCAGTCAAACAATCATCATCATCCCATTCAATTCAGCTTTCTTTACGAGAGCCTCTCACTATACGACAAGTCCTACTCTGCACAAGAACATACCGAAGCTTGAAGAATCAGGGACAAGCCTGGGAGTAAGAACTGTCTGTTGTGTCGTTTCTTGAGCTCCCGGGGACCGGGCAGGACCAGGAACGCATTCACATTCCTAGTCATTTAAACGAAGGTACCGTAAACTGCACTGGACGTCTCTCCGTCGACAATGGAGTAGGGGAGGGCGAGTGGGGTGCCGCCACGTGGTTGACTGATCTCGTTCTATCCATCTGGTGTTTGTGGCGCTTCGCCGTCGTTGGCCCACGTTACAGCCTTCTTATTTGTCAGCCCGCGCTGCCCTGATCCGCGCTTTCCTGCCCTGGTCTCGACTCTCGAGTCCCGGCTGGACCTCAGGCTTCCGCCGGTTCCGCTGTCCTGCGGCTCCCAGAAGCGCTTGCCCGCGCTGACGCCTCGACGGTTTGCTGACCGAGTAACTCCCGCCGGGAATATCATCGACCTGGAATCAGACTGCTCGGAGGTCGATCGTCGGCTCCTGATGACCGTCGGGTTCTCAACCCATTTCATCGTCTGCTCTGTGATTATGGAGTCATCCGATATGGCATTGCTTTAATTGCCCATACGTGAATGGTCCGTCGATTTGATTCCTCAAAGTTCAGGAACTTTGAGGTTTTCCTCCAGATCCTCTTCCCTGCTGCCAACCATCGGAAGAATCGGCGTGCTAGTTCACGTAAGCTTCAGAGTCCCGGTCAGCATTCTGGGCTCACATATCAAAGGTGTTTTATTCACCGACAGATTTAGCACCTCGAAAATGGGAAATCCGAGGATTTTGCGGTTCCAAAAGAAAATCGTCTGAAGACCTGTTTCCCGGCAAACCCTGCAGAAATGATGTGCTATTTGGGAACTAGACTGTCTAGTTTTTTCGAAGTTTCAAACACCGCGCCCTATTAGAACTTCATCACATGCAGTGAAGTCCTAGATTTGTGGACTGGCGGGCTTGGTGGTACCTACAACTGTAACATGAACTGATTCCCATTTGAACAAGAAACGAAAGAGATGCCATGATCATACACGTGCTTAATTAAATTGTGTAACACAGCAGAAATTTTGGAAGAACCCATCAAGTTCGTACATGGATGAATCAATGAGGTAAGGTAGAGCTAGCCCAATAGGCTGATTTCAGAGATGATGAGGCATTAATCCAATCCAAATATCTCAAGAAGACCATCATTTCACTCAAGAACTTTTTGCCAGTACTAAGCCCAACTAAAAAGTCAAGGCGAAGTCCTGCAGTACAGAAGAAGCATGCCGGCACAGTCCCCTTCTAATGAGATTGAAGCAAGCTGTGAGCCTTAATTATTTAGTGTTCAGTTTCCCTAAAACCTTTCTTCCTGACATTTCAGTTTCAAGGTTAACAAGAACATGAGAAATCCCTGTTCATCATCCTTCCCTTTGATGAGATTTTGCACCTTTTTACCGGTCAAAGTATTGGTCATCGGCAGCCGACTTGGCAGGCATTGCAATCTACAGGTGTTAACACTCATAAAAAGGAATTCATGAGTGTGGACAGAAAATGACAATGGACTTGAGGGAAATGCATGCCGTCATAATTATAAATGTCATGAGTGTCACTCATTAGAATGAATCAATTGACCAGGATTGAAATATCATTTAAACACGTTTAGTGAGTTGGTTTAAGACCAGGTGGACTTGTTACATGGACGCAAGTCCATGTCATGTTTAGTTGTAGCCCACATTGCAAGGGGTGTAGGCAGAACTTCTTCTTGCGAAAATTTTGTAGGTCAGATCCTCAAGAATGCAATTCTTCCGGCTGTACATCCAGCCAAACCTCTGGACCGCAAACTCCACAACTCAAACACTTTTAAATTGTATATTTTTACTCACCAAAGCATAGACGTGCTTCGATAAGAGCCCGCAGTACACTCACACCTGAATCAAATACATCCGTTAATTTTCATCTAGTGCAGAAATCAAGGTGACTGGTATAGCGGGAAGGCACAATTAAAATAAGGAATCGAATGAATCAAGCATTCATGATAATTTTTAATAAGTTTTATACCTGGCCTTCCATTTAACAGTGTGAACATGCATCATCACTTTGACTTCCAAGTTGAATGTGCCTCACGTATTTTCCTCACGTCTATACAATTCTTCATTGTGACCACACGCCCTTCTCACCTATTGAGCACTTCACATCGTTTCCAACAGTCATAAGCAAATGTTCTCGCCCGGATCAGTTAACATCCACACGCTAATGGGAGTGCCACATCCAAAACCTATCACCGAGTCTTGTGAATCTTCGCGTCAGTTAAGCCCAGCGCTGTCTCCTGTAAAGTCAATCTGTGGCCATAAATGACTAATCGAACTAATGAAATTGCAATTGAGTAGATAGAATGAAGATTCCGAGAAACATCAACGGCAGATATCTGATAATAATGATACACCTAGAATCTACAATGAGAATACATTACTTCTATCTTCTTTTCAGTTTTGCTGGCTACACAGTCGCTTGTGATAATTCACCAGGAATGACCACATGCTTGTCAACAACTAGTAGTTAGCTCCAGCATGCCCACAGCAAGCAGTTAGCAGTTTTCTTTGAAAGGTGATAATCACCTCTTCCAGTATGGGACAATTACTTATAAGCTGTCAGCCTCTTCGAACTCTCAAAACAAATCTTCGAGTAGAAGAAGCTAAGAAAGTTCAGAACCCTTCTTGGCCATGCGACCTGAAATTTCGCATCACATTCTTCTTGACCCCCAACATTCTTCGAATATCAATACCACCCTACAGTGCTAGCAGAGACCAGAAGTCTCATCACCAATATGCCTCTGTTTCTGGTTCACAGACCTCCATAGCAATCGTATGAGAAACGTATGCTATCTCACTGGGTGTCGTGAGTTGCTGCTCTCTGAGAATGGTCGGGCTCGTGAAGAAAAATATATATTCCGAGAAACATGCAAATCCTTGAAGAAAGAGACCACTTGCAGCCGGAAAGACTCAAATCACTATCTAATCCATCTCCCATCCATCAAAATATTAGAACTCATTCCGATAAAGCGAAAGGATGACGGCTACTCCGTCTGCAGATATTCAGTCTCTGCTTTAACGTCTTCTACCTCAACATGATATAATTTTTTCTCTAGATATATTGCAACTTCTTGCCATGCTAGTTGAGCACTGGGCAAGGTTTCTTCAATTTATGCAAGCTTTCAGGTTTTTCTTTGTAAGGAGACTTCCATGGACCTGCCGCATCAACTCTTCAGTAATTTTGCTGAAAAACAGCCTGCAAAAAAAGAATATGTCCATGCGGATCGTTTCGATGACAGATTTCATAATATTCGGCATAATCATTCCTCTGTTTGAGATGCAGAAATTTCTGCAAAGGTTTCGGACGGCCCTAATTTAGTCGTTCTCATCGTCGACCTGTTGCTTATGAGGTTACAAAGTTCACCAGTAGATTGAATGGCGGCTCATACCCACGCCACTAATTCCGATTTATCTGGACCTCCTCCACCTCACATAACGCAGAGGAGACTTCAGATGAAGACGAATAAAGCCCTCCACCCTGCCCTCCTGTTCTAACTCAATGTGCTTTGAAGAAGCTGCAAGTTTACAATGTATATTAGACATGAAAGCTCAAGAGGTTTTCCAGAATGTTTTACCCTCGGCGGCATGATTTTCCACATTTGTATGTATCGTTTGACATGAAATTCGACTTAGATCAATTGAGCTCAAGTGGCTCACTTCAATCACGTATGTAGTAAAACTGTCCACATTCGAGGAGAATTTTATCAGCTGCTGACTTCGATAGATGTTAATATTTGTCTTGAAGTGTCTTTCTTTCCACTGGCTGCCTTGTTCATTGTTATAGATTTTTGTAGTGCACACGACAAAAAATCGTCACTTGCAAAGTTAATTCTTAGTGACATCAATCATCGATTCCTGCTGAGGCTATAACTTTTGGTCTCTTCTAAGATGATATATTTTGTAACATTAAGTATAAAGCTTTATCTCTTACATGTTTAAACTAGAGATCATTCCAATCTCTTCGTGATGACAATGACCTCAGATTCTATTCGATATCTAAACACTCATCTTTATGTCAAAATGTCCATAATGTTTTGTAATATTATTAAGATAATGTTACAAAACAGAAATTAGTCTTTGCATAATTATTATGAATAATAATTCTTATTCTACCTCTTACCTGACACTTGCCAATATACCAACCACTTAATTAAACATTTCAACCTCATGCTAAAACCTTATGCTTGACACCAATATTGAATCTCTTGATGTATGTTATTTATCTCAACATTAAAATGAGTAGTTAACAACAATATATGATACATATTTTATCTTAGCAATCAAATTGTTTTCAATTTTAATTTTTTTTATATGAATTCATAGCTACACAATTTACATGAGTACTATTTTCTTACTCTTCATTCATAATGTAGCATAAAAATCTCAATTTATACTTGCTTCTTTCACTTTGTTCAACTTTATTTCATTATACATCCTATGCAATAGATTGATTGTTCTTTTATTTGGATTACGAATTTGCCAACATGCTATTATATTCTTATCCCAATCCATTCCATGGACATTGACTGATAAACATATTATATCACAAATTTCTATTATCATTATTATGTATCGTTATTGAAGCTATATTTGATTTTTATTTGAATTTTTTTAATGAATTAAAAAGTAATTCAATAAGCATGGTAAGAAATTTATAAATAATATATTATCAACACAATTGAAATCAACTCATTTGTCAATATATCACATTTTTACATATTTTAATGGATAATTTTCAACTTGTTGAATTTTGACTTGGACAATTTTATTCTTATTTTTCAGTAAAAATGAGACAAATTTTCATCATGAATGAAGATTTATTACAAAAAAGTTAAAATAAACCTATGATAAATAAATTATTCAAAATGATTTGCAAATACTTGCACAAAATAAAAATATTTGATGGACGAGCTTTAAAATGATCATAGACAATGAAAAGGATTACTAATTTTATACGTCAAAAACCGCATTAAATATGTAATATTTGTGATAAGAATCAAATCTATAACATATTTAACTATACACATTAATATTTATAGAATTGATGCTTAATTTATATTATGTTTTCTTCATAAATTTCATTTCAATATAATTTTATATGATTTAAAATTTTGATAAATATTTTGAAATAAGTAGATAAAATTGGAATATATATTTTTTGAAATAAGTTTATTTTAAAATTTTATCTTCATTTTTTCATTTCATTTATTAAATTTATTTGATAAATCATGATAATTTATTTATCCATATGTTACATAATATGTTTAACAAACAATGCAAACAAAAATACCATAATTATCATAACAAATTCATATCTTTTTCTCAACAATAACTTGATGTGATTTAGATGTCAATAACTTTTTTCTTTGATGTAAAGTGTTCAGATGTATAATCATAACAAAAACTAATATACAGACTATTCAATTATGATACCCACAAATCATGAATTTCATTGTTTATTGTCATCTATTTGAAACAACTTTTGTGTATATATTTGTAGACAAATTTTCATTTTTTTGCTTCATCAATGATGAAGCAAAAAGTTAATGAATGATGAATAATCATTCATTATTGGAAATTTAATCCATTATTCAGATATTCCAATTTTTATCTCAATTCCAAATTTTTCTTCAAATTATATCAGTTTTTTGAAAAACTTAACAACTTTTTGTTTATGTATATTTCAATAATTCTCATTAACAAAGTTGAAAAAAATAACTTGTTCATTACATAGAAATTTCAAAATTGCTACGTAAAAGAAGTATATCATGATGGATGAATTACTGAATGTATATCTTCTATTGAAATATTTAGAATCCGAATCCTTTCTATATATTTAGAATATGAGAATGTTGAAAAGCTTTTTATCTCAAATATGCTTCGTTTTAGCTCATGAAATGTTGACAGTGAAAATTTCATTCTTTGCTTTTCATGCTGTGTGAAAATTTGCACATATGCTAATCCATCATCATTTAAAATTATATGTGATGACCAGAGATCAATTGTAAATCAAGATCAACATTCACAGTGACATGTATTTCTTAAGCTATTGATACAAAAAGTGCATGATTTGATTCATCTTGCTGCTGCTTGTATGCAAGAAAGTCATATACTAAAAGTTTAGATTGTATCACTGAGATTACAATCACAAATACTGCAAAACAGTAGTTTGATTGATCTTATTTACTATAGTTAAACCAACACATGAAGTAATTTCCAACATTGATTGAAAATCAGTTAATTCTAGCTCAAACACAATTATGTTGAAGTCTTAAAATCGTGACAAGAACACTAAATCTCACTTCAAACAAATCCTCCAGTAGATACTCTGATAATCTACTTATATCTATGTTCAAAAGACACTTTCCTTTCATGTTGATACAGATTCACTAGCCAAATTTGTCAGTGATAAAAGATAAACCTCAAAAAAATTTTAATTTATTGTGTATTCTATGTCTAGGAAATCAAGTTACAAATTCATATGACATATACCAGATTTCTTTATCTAGCAGTTAGACAATTTATATCACAATTCTTCTTAGAAAAGTGTTTATGTTCAAGTTCTTGTAGTTTATTCTAGCAAGAATGTTTGAATTGAGCCTCTAAAGTGATACTTGCATTTCAAACTCCTATCTAGATTACTCCACTTTAGCATCATACTTAAAGTCTTTAATGGATTGCTACACACGTGGATAATTATAAGCAATCAAGCTTTTCATCTTGTCTCAGTTATCAAATTTCATTTCTTTAAACTTAAGAAAGTATCATTTTACAACATACGTTAAACATTTCTACAATCTCTTTTTACATGACCAATGTCACCATATGACTCATACAACATATCTTTGTTTGGTTGATAAAATATTTTCTCTCCTCTTCTTTGATCTGATGTGTCTCATTCTCACACATGATACTTTGCGGATAAGATGGGGAGAGGTAGTTCCAATTTCGCTACTATCGTTGTTCATCATGAAGCAATATGATATTTCAAATGATATCCAAATTCACAACATAACAATTTATATTCAATTCAGGTGAAGATATTTACTGACTTGAAGTCACAGCAAAGCATATCAGCAACAATGCATTAATGTGAGATATCCAAACCCGATGAGATGTAACAAACACAATCCTAACCTCACTACGAGTGTCTATACTATTTACATCTATAATTTTCACTCCCACGAATGATCCTCACGTTTGCTTTCACTTAGCCTGGAACGGGGTCGAGAATCCTGCAGTCACACAAAGTGACTAGAGAAACCAAATGTGCACCCTCACGAACCAGGTACTCTCCAGCTGCACTACAAAATGACCGGTGCTCATGCCTCGGGGTATAAGAAAGTACATTTGATGGTTTGGAATACAAGGATGTAAATCTTTGACTCAAACGAAGAAAATGCGGCGAACAGGACGAATGTAGAAATGGGATGTACAAAGATTTGGCCAGATCTTCGTGCGTGCAATCAGTGGCCATTATTATTTTGTTCTTTCTTCCACAAGGGCCGGTGATGGATCATGATATGACCGTCTTTACTTCTCCATACACACCAGCTCAAAGATTCATAACCTTGCTTATGAAAGATGGGAGAACCTGTGTTACCTTAAGCACACATGGTGGGCCTCAGGTCACCACTATACATTCGTCTTGATTAGTGCCCTCTTCATTTAGAGAGGATTGCGGTGACGTGAAATTCCACAGCTCTCAATCTTCTGTTGTCCAGACGCCGAGAACGATTTCGGACACGGAATTTTTCACGTCACGTAGTGACAATTAATTCCCATCGATTTAGCAAAGTTCACTCTGCGTAAGATGCAAATTTCCGATTATTCTCTTAGTTGCCTCAGAGCTCAGCCGGAAATGCTCTGAAAATAAACCAGAGTTTCTCAATTGATCCTTCGGACAGCAATCATTCCTGGCTTCGAGGAGACACATCGTGATGCTACGACGAGCCAAACGAAAGTGCGAATACAACTCTCTGGCTCGTTAGGTTTCAAACATTCTTGTTCCTCGATTTCCAGCAAGATGCCTTCGTAATGTCAGTCCCCCCACAGTTTAGTCGCCTTTGACCGAAGCGGTTGTTATTGAAGACCCAGAGCATCATATGTTCAAACTACGACATATCTCGTATACCAGGTTCGAATGTCCAACTATTTGACATGAAAGTGCGTGAGAACATCCTGTGACCTGTCAAGTCCGTGCCTATGTTTACATCTCGCTTTTAGCTTTCACCAAAGAGGTGCCATTGTTTGATCACGACACAGTGTACGAAAGTCAGATGCAGTTAGTTCGACAAGATTCCAGGATCTTGATTTTGGCTCATACGGTAATGGAGAAGATCCCTCCCAACTTGAGCTTTACTACAATTCTGTGTTGAAGATCAGATCGTTTGGCAGTTCTAGATACTTCTAGATTTGACTGGCTAGAGTCTTCCCTAGGGTCCGAAGTATGGCAGCGGAGCTGTTCAGCTCTTGCCAGCTGTAAGATGCCCTTGAAAGCCAGTTGGTCGGAGATGCTGAACACGCTATTGAACTTCAGTGATTAGATCTAAACTGATCAAAATTCTAGCGGCAGTTTCTTATAAGCCCTTTCAAAACAGATCGAGCAGGGCGACGTGGATGTTCCGTGCAACGCATGCAATCGATTCCAAACAATTGGGGGTCCGGTGACACAACTGTTATTTTCGTTGGATTGCGCACGACTTGTCTTCTACGAAACCTCATGATCGTTTCGAGATCTCTAGCTGTACTTTCTCTCATTATGAAGCGATGGCGTTAGATCCAGCACCTTCTTGATAGCCTCTCTAGTGTCTCTTGGGTCTTCATGTCCTGCAGCAGATTCAAGACATCTTCCATTCGTCCAGCCTTTCCTAGATATTAGATGAGCGTTAATTTCAGTTAGGTACCAGTTGGGCTTTGCAATCGAAACCTTAGGCTCATTCGAGTCTCATGCCGGGCAGCAACCAGAAAAAAGCCCAGCAGCTTTTGTCTCTCAAGCAATTACTCTTAGGGCTGAGCCTGATTAGTTAGTTTTAAATGATAGTATATAAGGCTGATTTGCTTGACAAAGCGCCTCGAAATTCTCCACTGTTTTACTAAAAGCTGGGAGAAATGACAGAAGTTACTACCGAGTTGTAAAGAGCACTTTTCAGAACTTGCGGTTCCTTGATGCTTCTCAAGTCAATGCGAGGGTGAATTGCTCAACGAAAGAAGATAATCAATTTGGCACATGAACATCTAAGGCCAAAATTGAGTCGCCCAAAAGGTAGCTGTTAGAAAACTGATTAGTACTGCAAATGAAATGCCTCGCTCAGGAAATCATGGTCTCCAGATACTGAGGAGAACAAATGGTGGTATTGAGAATATACCGAAAATCAGAGCTGGATCAAACTGGCAGCTGATACTCAGACAAGCATGCAATCTTATGATCCCAAATATGTCTAGACTGAGACCCTGATGCCCATCCGAATTGAAGGGAAGCATAAAGACGAAGGGTGAGAGAGAGGGATCGAGGTCCGCCCAACATCACGTGCATCTGGAGAATTTCATGGATCTAAGTCCTTGGGGCAAGGAGAGAAAAGCTCAAACAGTAACATCTGAGCTCAGGCAGAGGTGGAATCATCTGTATCAAACAGTGCAAGATCATGTGCCACACCTTGCGATGAATGATGTAATTTGGCACTGCTCTGCAGCGTACTCGTGGAATCTGGAAAAGCTACGCGTCTACCAGACACCACAGATCAGAAACTTAACATGCGTGCCTCGCTTCTATGTCCTGCCTGTCCATTTCCATGCATATTGCTGTCAGTTCGGATCACCGATCTAAGAACCGGATTGCTAATCGGGAAACTCTGGGTAGGTAGTGAGGCTGGTGGATTGCTAGCCACTGCCGGATCTGTATCGTCGTCGGGTAACTCGATGATGCGTGGTCAATGGATGCCGGTGGAGCGAGCATTCCGATACATGAGTAGGAATATATGGAGGCTGGTTCTCAAGTTCTTGCTCTTTCTCTTCGCGTTGCTGCTCAGTGTGACTATGGGGGTGGCTCGGCGGGCTCGAGCCAGAGTGGTCAGCTACCGAATGCAGTTACGAGAGCTTCGACAGCGGCAGACCACGGAGGCGAACGACCGCGACCGAGCGCAACGAGAGAGGGTCGAGTCGACGAGGCGCCGCAAAGATTGCGCCGTGTGCTTGAAACCTGCCAAGTACCGATGCGCTCGATGCGAGGTTCCCCGATTCTGGTCTGCCTCCTCCGCTCTTCTCTCCCTTCCTTTCTTCGTGTCCTCCCAACTCCATGTTTTGTATCTGCATCTAAATCTAAGTCTCAATCCTAATCTCGTGAGAGGATTGAATAAATGTCAAGTAAATGCAAGTCCGGCCCGTGTCTAATCTGGCGCAATCCGCTGATTCCGGTGGATCGAGCAAGATTGTAAATTGCAAGTCCCCGCCCATTTGGATTTGAATTTGGTGGATTTCGCGAAAATGTGTGTGGAGGGACGCGTCACGCTCGCGGGAGTTTAACGTGAGTTCATTCCGTGCACTGCAGCTCGAAATCATGTCGATTCCAGCACTGGAGACAGAGTCACCGACGCGGAGGTCGGGCTGGAGCCTCGTCGTCCTCCGCACGCGGAGATACCGAATGACGACGACGGTGTATCGTAACTTCACGATCTAGAATATAGATCTGCCGTAGCCCGTAATCACCACAGGGGTCGACGCCATTCCGGCAATTCAACCGAGGTGCGTTAACTCTGACGGCTCTGAGATTGCGATGGATTGGAGTGAAATGAAATTGAAATCCTTCGGGGTCGAAGGGTCATGAAAGCTGAAGCATTCGATCGTCCTAAGATCGTCCTTGAGCTCCCGCCCTTGCAGTGATTGAGTTCGCAGTCTCGTGGAAAATGTTTCTCTGTGCAAGATCAGATGCGCAAAGAAGTGTACTCTCTCTCTGGCTGGCGTCATGAAGCATCGGATCCCTTGAAGTTTGAAATGTTTCCGTTTGTGACTGTGGCAGATCTGACAGCAGTCACGACAGACTTGTCGATCGGCTAGTCCGGAACTGAAATCTGGAGTGCTCGAGGATGCGGCCCACAAGGCTAGGCTTGCAGCGTTTTCCGTCTAGAAGCAAACTACTGAAATTTTTTAAGGTTTAATCAGAGGGGACCGAACAAATGTTGTTGTAGCACAGTTAAAAGAATTGGAAGGAGAAGGGGGAGGGGGAGAGGGAGGAGGGGACTCTATAACAGGTAAGTTCGCGGGGGTCATTTGCACGAGACAAGCAGAGGAATGATGATTCGAGGCCCAAATGTAGGAGCAGCACCACCTCGGGTCATCGGAATTTGCAAATGCACTAACTTCTAATCAATGACATGCCAATCAATGCAGCGGACGAGAAAGCATGCCGTCTCGTTCCGATCACTGAGATGGTTTTTGTACATTCCGGATTTCTGTGGTCCATCGCAGTTGGATAAAAGTCAATCTGGTCCGATCTCTGCCACATGAATATTTCTTGAGACTTGTGTACGAGTTGGAATGGTCAGGCTGGAATACGAGCGACCACACGTCCTGCCAAACTCGTCGTATGAGCAAGTTATTTGTATTGCGCACACATGTGCATGACATGACGGGAGGTCAGTGAGCATCGGCGGTGCGAAATTCTATTTCGTAATCATTTGAATCCACATGACCAGGGCATGCGATAACCTCAATTGGACAAGTTCTATTCTGGCCACATCTCCCGCCCAACGTGACATGTCACATGCGATGGATTTTAGGGTTCTGGGTGTAGGGACTGAAACGACCGATCGTCGAGGCTCCTGCACCTTCCAACTCTGACGTCCTGCTCGTGCAATGATCATTACTGCACACACATAGGCAGACATAAGATATACGATCGATTTGAGGCGAAATAAGCGACTCCCCTCGCATCGAATCACAAGGAAGGAGAGCATATCCCCATGTCGAGCACTCCGTCCAACAACTCGATTAAACTTGGGCAACTTACAGCGAAGATGCTCCAGCAGATTCGGAAGGACAGAAAGAGAGACAGGACCCCATATACCGTATCTCCCCAGTAGCGAACCGAAGACCTTAAGAATCGAGAGAGGAGCGAATCGAACGGGGGACTCATGAAATCGAAACACATGGCAGTCGCTGATTGTGGACGTTCCTCGGAGCAAATGAACGAGTGCTGGGTGACGTGAAAGTGCTCGCTTAGCTCGGTCAGTCTCGCAACGAGGGACATGATCTAGAATAGAGAAACGTGTTGGAGATGTAGAAGGTACAGAGCCTACTTTCCGATACACCAGTCTCGAACTGCGCACCCTCATCTGCGTTGGAATCAACATCTGACATCGGAGAGATGTCCAGAATATTCGAAACCAACCACTGAGAATTCCCGGCCCCGAGCGCAAGTACGAGATCCATGGCTCGACAGTTTGCGGTTGTACATTTCACATGGGGCCTCGGTGTTATCTAACGCGTAGTTCACAGAGTGATTATGGATCATCTTGATGAAAATACTGTTCGATGAGAGACGAGGATACACACCGTCGTACGGCGTTCATGAACTTTACCGAGTCCGGCGGATGGGAGGGGATGGGCTGTGATGGGCTGGGACGGGATGGGGCCGGGCCGACGCGTCGTCGCATAAGGTGCTTCCATCTCTCTCTGCAGTAGCGGCAGAATTGCAATTTCGACAAAGATTATTGGATTCCGATGCGCTGACCTAAATCGCTGAATGGCGCGATCGCTTCGACCCCCGATTGGCTGTCTCATGAACCAGCCATGCAAAAAGACGGAGCCTTGACGTCTCCACGGAGAAATGTAATGTGAGGGAGGGAGATGGAGTTTCCACTACGCTCTCGACATCTCGTCAGTGAATGGATTTCCATTCGCAGAAAGATCGACAGTGAGCGGTCGGTACTCGAGATGCAAAAAAAAAGTTAGAGCATGCGCAACGAAGTTGATTACTCCGCGAGCGATCATGACATAAGCTGGACGAGCCCATAATGACGAGGGTACTACGACTCGAGCTTGAGAGTAAAGCAAAGCATCTTTCCGCTTCACAGGTACGAGGAGTTGGTTACGGGCATTTTCCTTTCAGTTTCATCACATGCACAAACTTTTCTCGGGCATTGATTGGAAATAAGTGATCATGAGGTACCGCAAGCTCCTGTACTGCGCCAAAACTGGGCCTTTCCTCCGGAGGAATCTCTGGTTTAATCCCGTGCCTCCCCTCGCCCTTCACTTTCTGCCTGTCTCCACCGCTCGCAGGCAAAATCATCATCCACGTCTTGACTCTTGACGGCCGTGTGCCATCACTATCCGGACACGGACTTGACAAAACGTCGCTCGATTCATGTCGGACGCGAAAGCCTTGGTAGGGCCCCTCGGTCGCCTACGGAAGCAAGTACTCGCACCGGCTCAGAACTAAAGGTCTCACTCACTCATTCATTCCGCAGCTGAATGAATGACCGGACACGTCGCCCGCTCACCGACTGTAAACTCGCGAGGTTCGGGCCAGGGCCGATGAGACTTTGTGAGGGGGACGGGTGAATTTCGAGACAGTGGGGGGAGGGAGGGGAGGAGAGCAAGAATTGGCGAGCACTTGAAGGTCAAATGGGGTGGCGTGGGGTGATGAGGACGTACGCAGGGGCAGCAAAAGTTCGGTTGCTGTCGAAGAGAATGTACGATGTCCGGCGAGATTCGTGACGTCGCCTTCCGATCGTAGCTCCGGCCGGCTCAACAAGATTTTTTTTTAACCTCCCGTCTCGCTCTGGGAGGAGATTCTTCTTCCGGACAGAGCGTGTAAAATTGTCGTTTTTGCAGCTCAATTACGCTGCCGGCGGAGTGCATCTTAGCCGCCACTCCTACTCCCATCACCACCACCACCTCCTCCTCCACCATGGACTCGGAGTTCGACCTAGAAGTTTCGTTAGCCCGCCCAAGAGACCCTTCCTTCACTCGCGGGTCGGGTCGAGTTCGAACCACGATGGCTCGTGGGGCACAGAAACAAATGTATTCGGTACCAATATTGAAGGGCCGGCACGATCCGGAGTGCGAGGCTCGATGGGACAGGTGTCTCGACCGGACGAGGCCCGGGGAGATAGTTTGGCAGGGAAAATATCTGATAAATCTGGAAATCTTCGTAAATATCCGGAATATAAACGAAATCTGAAAGGATCACATTCGAGCATGAGCAGTCTGACAGGCTCGGCTAAACTGCTGGGCGGGTGAGTTTAGGAACTGGGTTCAGCATGGCAGAGGCATTGTGAAGTCTGCCATTGGTGGGATCGTGTGGAAGAGCTTACGTCAGGCGGGGACGACTTCGCATTCGGGACGGTTTCCATTGTCTCGCGTTGTCTCTACACGTGCATAGGCATTAAATCAAATCACAAAAGCTGTAGTGGATTCTGGAGGTTTGCGACGATCCAATGGAACGTATGGCGCAAATTCGGACCAACATACCTCACCTGTGATCAGCATGGCAGAGCGACATTCCAAGCAATGATGAGCCTAAAGACCATGTAATCACATCGCGGCAATTCGAGCAGGCCGTTTCGCTCGCTCTCTCGCGCTCTCGCGTCTTGCAACCCTCGACTCGACTCTCGCTTCCGAGCTCTTGAAAACCTTCCCTTCCCGAGATCTGCAGCGCTCATTTGCGCGAGAATTTCATGTGAATTTGCAGCCCTGCGTCGAGTGTGACGTCGCTCGGAACCGTCGGATGAACGCGGGCTGATGCATAGACTCGATGGCTCTCGCCTGGGCGGGATTTCTTATACATATATCTTCTTTCGCAGCGTCTGCAGGCACCGCATGCCCACTTTGCGAAAGAGGCGGATGACCATCATCTGCCTGCACAGGGCTCGTCTCCCGCGAGCGAGCTTGCCCTACCCCGCCGACAACGCGCGTTCGAGAGAAGTCGGTGGCCGAGCTCCCCATCGCTCGATCGCTCGCTCGCTCGCTCGATTGCCATGCCGAGAGAAGCAACGCATTCGATCGCTCGCCTCCGTGGAAACTCGACATTCTTCGAGCTGCAAGCACTTCATCGACTCAATCAGTAGGCACATCGACCGCCCGAGGCACTCCGACGCTCTTCGCTCGTCGCTCGATCTGCCCACCCATTCCCTCACGCGGTCCTAGTTCTCGTACCCGAGGGCACTCCCGCCTGCATACTCCGCAGCAGCAGGTGCGCTGGGTCGCAGAAGACTTTCGCCCTGCTGCCCCGATGGTGCGGTAGTTCTGAGCGTCGTTAATCTCGTAGACTAGCTCGGCTCGACCATCGCATGTCGGGTGACCAAAAGCGGTGCTGGTGGCTTTAAAAAGTTGTCTGCAGGCCTGAATCCAGAGAAAGCAGGTAACTGGCAGTGAAATTGAAGGGCTGCAGCTCACCGAGACCCGAGCACTCAGCGGCGAAGTGAAGTGAAGCTCAAGATTTAGACGAACAGTAGCGAGCGTTGCGGTGCCTTTCTTATCTCCAGCCGGCATGGGGATCGTGCCGACTCGAGAATCTGACGAGGTGAACACTGTGGTGGCACGGACGCCCAGCGGGAGTCAGTCCGTATATTAAAAAGAATAAGAAGAAGTGTCCAGTGGGACTCGAGAGCTCTGAGACTGTCATTTAATTCTCCGAGCCACCGGTTTTCGGCACGAGTGCCATGGCGGATCCACACAGATTTGATCCGACGTGCGATCGTGTTTATGCCCTCATGCGTGACCACCATCCGAAAAGCCTATGACACCGGCGATGGTCGCCACCAGCAGCAGCGGCAGTAGCAGCAGCAGCGGGAGGCGTCACAACTGCGGGATCCGAGAACTTCAACGATCCTACCACTCAAGATATATCAGAATTAATTATCAGAATGAGTTTTGGCTGTGCCTCTGTTCATCTCTTCAGCGGATCGAGTCGTCCGAGCTGTCGGCTCGAAATTCTAATCCACTCACCCACTCTTCGGTCCAGATTCTCAAACCTTCCAGCCCGCCGCCCCAGGCCCTCCCCCACTACCTCCTCTCCCTCTGATCCAACATCCTGTCGTGAGGCCATCCCCTTGGGAATCCAAACGCAGCGCGGCCATCACGAACGGACTTTCGTCTTCCCGTTGGAGGCGACTAGCGGTTGCTCAACTTTGCAGGTTTGTAACAGCAAACTTTGAACTTGAAAGCTGCTTGAAAATCAGTCCCTCCTGAATAGTATATTCACGAGCGACACATGCTCTTGAGGTCATTGCTCCTCGTTGATTGTCAACTGCGGACTGCACCGACGGACGACGCTTCAGGCTCTGCTTGCGAAGGGTTGCTCGAGTGATTGATGGAGTGAATGAGCGCATGAGAGAGGAGGAATCGAACGAATGATAGTATTCGCTCGAGCATTATTGAGTTCGGACTCGGAGCTTTCTGAAGTTTTGAAATCTGAAGCATCGCTTGCTCCACCGTGATCGTGATCGGTCGTTAAACACTATTCTGCAGATTGGCTAGAGTGAGCTAGCAAGGACAAGGCCGGGCCCCATCGAGAACTGACTTTGCAGCACTGATCTGCCGACCAGACCAGAGAAGGAGGTTGCATGAGCACGATCTCTGGTTCCGTGGCTCGCTTCTCAGACAGCGACAGTTATTGGCGGTGCTCAGTCGTAGTGGACATTGTGTCTCGCACTCTGTAGCTTTGTCGTGCTCTCTGGGCGAAGAAATTCGCCGTACGCCTAGCGATCCCCGCCTACCGGGGCGAGCTTTTCTCCTGAAACCTGCTACTGAAAATCCATTCAAGTCTATCACATCTTCTTTATTCCACCGTTGACGACAACATAGTTTACTGGACTCTCTGTCGTGACTATTGCATCAACTGTTTTTGTAGGCCAGCTGTCTCTGATTTATTTAGAGCCCATCTGCGAGAAAAATATAGCATTCTTGAACCGAAGGCGACTCTGCATAAAGCGCGAGAGACTATTCCGCAACGTCCAGCGGATCATCATTTTGTCTCTAGCCTGGTCCGGTCCCTGGTGGTCCTAACCAGCTTAACTGTCTTCCTACACTGGCATGTGTCTCAGAATGTCGAGAAAGAACAGCACTCCGCTGGGAGCAGATGCCACGTCAATTTGGCTCCTGCTTCTGATATTCTCAGCCTCGGTATCAGGTAAGAAGCGCGTTTGTCTAGTCTGAGCTATCGATAGTCCTTAGCTTCCGTCCATGTCTTGTAACGCATTCCCCTCCAGCAATATAGAGTTCCAAATTGCGACGGTCAACCTTTTCGGACTCGGTCCATCTTATCTTACAGACAGTTGCTCTTCGAGCTGAAACGCTGAAGAGAACGGAAACATGGACCGAAGACATTATCAGCCAGTAACGAGTAGATCAGATTCTTTGGCGGTCATGGATGTTGAAATTGGGGTTCATGCCTTACCTTGTGAGCTAATTGTGTCCATCGTCTGGATTTTGTGGACTCAACACAGCAGATTCAATCGGAGAGGACTTATTGGGTGTCTGCTATGGAGAACTAGGACAGGATCTGCCACCAATCAGTACTACCATCAAATTGCTCAAGGAGCTGCATGCAGATGCTGTGCGTCTGTATGACGCTAATCCTTCAGTTCTTACTGCTCTGAGAGGTACTGGAATTGGAGTCATCGTTTCTGTGCTAGACTCCGAACTTCAGGACTTTGCACAGAACCCCACCACTGCAGGTGAGTGTTTCGAAATTGCCATAATCTTGCAGACCGGATCTTTCATGACCTTTCGTATCTGTAGCTGTACTCATCTTTAGCACATCGATGGAAATGTGTTTCGAGGATAGGAACGACTTTTCATTTTATTGACTAGATATTTCTCGGCATCCAGTCTGAGTATTCTACAGTTGCCGATATTGGTTTCGAGGTCAGAAGGAATTTGTTTTGCAGGCTATACTGCACGCTGCAGCTGATTTGATAAATTGGTTGGTTGCACTCGACAGTATTATGGGTGCAGAAATATGTATCCCCATTCTATCCGAGTACGAGAATCACCTATATAGCTGTTGGCAACGAGATTCTGTCTCCGGGTACTGTCGATGAGTATGGACCACATCTTGTTCCAGCCATGTGGAACCTGTACCACGCTTTGGCCGGTCGCAGACTGCAGGATCATATCAAAGTAGTCGCACCAGTAAGCGGAGACATTCTTGGAACCTCATGGCCTCCATCAAAGGGTGCTTTTAGTCAACTAAACTACATACATCCTCTGCTGCGGTTCCTTGAGTACACGAAGTCGAAATTCTTCATAAATGTATATCCGTAAGTACAGTCGGACAATCCGTATGCATGTGACCTGGTTAAATCTTTCATAGAACAGACGCATCTTCTATTGTTTGGGGTTTTCTGGGTACAAGCTCTCATGTTCACAAGTAGCAGAAGCTGACTTCATCTTGTTGTTTGGTCTTGTGCCAGATACTACGCACACAGGATGAATCCGGTACAGGTTCCTTTGGATTATGCCGTTTTCTTAAAGACGGAGCCAGAATTCAAGGACCCGATTACGGGTTTGCCATACTACAACCTCTTTGATGCCATGATTGATGCCACCTATAGCGCCATGCTCGACATCGGCATAACGAAAGTGGGAGTGGCTGTGGGCGAGACAGGATGGCCCACAGCTGGGGGATATGCTGCTTCCGCGCGGACTGCGAAGCTCTATATCAGGAATTTGATTCAACACGTACAGAGGGGTGGCACTCCGAATCGACCGAAGGAAAGAGTCCCGGTGTTTCTATTTTCTCTTTACAATGAGAACGAGAAAATTGGCCCAGACACCGAGAAGAACTGGGGTATATTCTACCCCAATGCCACCAAGGTTTACGATGTTGATCTCGACCCTGTCACCTCAGACCTCTAGTCCAATCTAGTACAAGTCGTGCTTCTCGGAGCGCTTCTTGATGCAGGCGAAAAACTTTCTACTCTTCAGCAAATTTGTGCCTACAACTGCGAGTACATCGCAACACATGACGAACGGGGTTTATGTATCATGGATCACACGAGGAACACGTATTACACAGACGGCTTTGTGCTTCTCAAAAGCCATCCATGAACTGCACTTGCTCCCGATCACTGAGTTAGCAAGATGGAATCTCCTTGCCCTTGTTCTGGAGTGTGTATCTCCACAGCAACATACTCCGCCGGCCTACATCGATCAGTCATTACTTCAAACGATTTATGTCTACCAGGTCAACTCGAATTTCGAGCACTTTCTTACGTAGCAGGCCGCCTGGTCAAGATGCTGAGAACGTACGAAGTCAATTTTGACCGCGTTAGCTTATTCGAATTGTCTGAAAAATGCGACCTGCGAAATTGGTCTGAACTACTACGTCCAATATTCTAGAATGTCGTCGATGCTAGCTGTCCAGACCGAATATTGTCTTCTGAGACAAAACGATGTGGTTCTCCCAGGAATGGTTGTACCAATCGGCACTAGTTAATCCCCTTAGAAACACTTAGCATGCCACTGTTCGAGGTTATCGAGGACTGGCATTTGCTGTCGGCCACCATCCATCAGAGCCTGCAGCTGATAAGCGTTTGCTTTCAGCTGGAGGCGATGATAATTGACTAGCAGCAGCATGTGCGTGCAGTCCCTGTTCTCACCTTGATAATAAAATATGAATCCGTGATTACGTCTCTTTCTAAAGTTTGTTCATGCATTAGCGTGAGTTTATGTCCATTTATTTCCTCAGGAGGTGCCAGCTTTCAAGGTACTCCAGAGTTCAGTTACAATTCTCATCATCGGAAGTCCTTTCGTTGGCATTCTCTAATTCAAAAGCTGGCATGAAGAAAGTCTTAGATACCATGGAGCTCGACTAATTGCGTGGACTCTGCGTTCCTCATTATATTATCGCTTTTGCTGCGGACCCATGGACTTCCTATAAGAGGTCTACTGCAAGACTGCAAGCATGGCTGAGGCTGACTACCCACTGACACACGAAGGTGTCTTAGTGCATGACTCGTGTGTGATGCCATGTGTAAGTCTATGCCTCTGACTTGATGGTAATTCTTCGAAGTCAGCGCTGTAATACAGGGTTGGCGGAGAAGTGCTTATACATGGACAAATGCATGATCGGGCTCGCCACGATCCCCTCAACTCCTTGCATGCTGTCAGTGTGATTGATAACAAGGATAATCTGACAGGAAGGTCGACTGTTAGCTTTCTTATCACGCAACTTTCATAAAGTCTTCAAACAATCCAGCTATCGCCCCGCCTCTGAATAAGCCTGGTGCCGAATTGCAAGCTAGTCCGTACCACTATTTACATGAATTCTGTGCCCAGCCGGAGGCGGATACCATCTGTGCATGTAGTGGGCAGAAGTTATGCATGACCGACCGCCTTTCATTGTCAGGTCTAATCCCGAGTTGTGATTATTGCTGCCTTGTCTTTGAGATGAGACTTCCAACTTTGATTTGGTCTAGATCTCAAGGACATTATTTTCTGCATTAAATGAGATGGAAAACTCACCGAGAAGAAGTCACTACGAAATAGTAGTGCTCAAATAAGAAGAACCCTGGTACTTGTGCGCTGTGCTCTATGCTCCTTATCCAGGTTCAGGTTAATAGTGCTTCTTGAGTAATCGCATTATTAGAAATTTTGACATGGAATCATGACTCGAATTCACTGTGCATGTGCTTCTGAATGTGTATGCTGTCATATTTTGTAAACAAGGCTTCGAATGAAGATCTCCGGTTCTGGCAAGTGGAAAATTTGTCACGCTATCATTTCTCATAACATCATGGGTCCTCCATCTTTTAAGTCGTTGACAAGCATTATTTCTAATACTGTATGAATGTAATTATTTTTTTAGCCAATATGTGTTCTATCAGGAATAAATAATTTATTGCCGTACGATGTAAATGTCTCATCGAGGGTGTAGCGATGACTAAGTCCACTAATTCCTTGGTAACTGCTTTACCTGTATCATCTATTCGGAGATGACATGTGTGATCATGTCTCGCATAACCATGTCGTTGAATGGACTGATATTTCATGTCTTCCACTGAGATCCCGCTTTGAGTGTACGGTACGTATCTCAAGGTCGAGGTTTTTTTTTATAGTTCAAAGTGCCAGTGAGTGATATTGGTGAGAAAAATAATCAAAATCTTTGGATCAAAATCCGTATAGGTGCATGGAACAATAAATCTTCATACGCATTTGGAGTCATTAATTGCGCAAGTTGTACTTTAAAATCAATTTGTAACATTTCTTACGAGTATATATGTTTGGAAAGTCGAAAGTCAAGAACGTTGCTTGGAAATCGTCCAATGCCCGCAAAGGCACAAGTTAGATTCTATGGAACGCGTAGGAAAAGCTTCAGATATACCATTGAGGATATTTTATAACTGCGATGAGCCTTTACTGTTTACTATCCATACCCCGAGCGCTTGCTATGATTAAGGTGTTGAAGTTCTAAACGTATTTCTTCCACATGTTACATTGCTTGTGGATCCAACCAGCTGCGCGAGAAAGATTTTAGAGCATCCTCTTCAATGACACTGATGAACTAAGAACATTTCAGTCGAGTATATTTGGGTTTGCTTATCGATATAATATACAAATGAAAAATGTATTTTCAAAAATCTTCTACAAGGAGCAAGAACTTGGAATTTTGATACACAAACTATACTTTATATTGGCGATATATTTTTTTTCTACTCTGATTTGAACACTATCTAAATTTTAAAAAAGACATTGTGTCATTAGAGATTTTCTGCTGTTTAAATACCCTTTAGTGCGATGTAATCTTTTTTGTTGTGTTAGTATGAAGTGTCAAGGGATTACAAGTTGTATCACTAGGATGATAGTATATTGGTTGAAAAAATGGTGAGAAATTTAATGACACAGAGAGTCATTCAAATTGTGGTTTACGTGTGGTGATGTATAAAATTAGAGAAAATAATAAAATGTAAGGGAGTGATATATATCTGAATGAATATGCCTGAGCCTATCGATTATGTGCATAAATACTCGTCATTTTTTCACAAATCGTGCTCATAAGAAAAATAAATGAGGATAAAGTGATAAAGAATGAAATTCTAACTTGAACAAGAGTCACAAATAATACAAAAGGAGAAGAATTGAGATTATACTTTAGGTTTTCAATCATTAGACATTACTGGTTAAATTTGAGGGGTTTTTTTAGATTCACAATTGAGTAATCTTATCCTTGTTTCCATTTTTCATTTATTCATTTATTTATATGGTAAGAAATTTTTTTGGGTTCAAATATTCAATTATATTGTTCGATCCAAAGTCGAGGCTTTATAAACGAAAAGTAAGTTGAAGTCCTGGACTTGTAAAACTGATCAGAACATAATATTGCTGAGCTGAATTGTAGAAAAATATTTGCTAGCAAAGTCTACAATCAAACATCATCGCGGAATTCCACTTTTTACAGATCTACTGGACTTTCCGAATCGCATCTGTCGATCTACACTAGAACTCGGTAAGTTAAAACTCGATAGGACAAATGGTGGATGTCAAAAGTCAGGTGGAGGCAAAAAGTCATGAGAAAGTAGACATGGAAAATTCAAGAACCCAATTATGCGCTTTTGCATTACATGCACATCCAATTTGCTCTTGTGAAGTATAGGGGAGTTTCTGATTGATGTTAAAAATTCTTCATCGATTCGCGTTATGGGGCTTTCCAATAACAAAAAACCAGATCATAAATTTCAGCCGTAATTCAAAAGATAGGAAAACAAGAATAAAATTTAGGGGCCAGTGCAATGAGTGAAGGTTGTGGAGTTACTTGTACTGAATCACTGTTAGTATGTAACAAGTGATCTACACAACGAAATAAAATTTGATCCCATGAATAAACTAAGGCAACTCAAAGAGATACATAATGCAAAACTATCTCCAAGTTCCAATTTTTTAATTCAGTAGCCTGGACTCTCATTTATAAACGTTGTGTGGACTACCTACACAAGTCATTGAATTGCGCAATACTGTAGTATCTATAATATTGTTGTAAAATAATGATTTCCAACATTATTGAAACTACCGGCTTAAAGTCTTGGCTATGTAGTCAGCAAAGAAAAAAAAACTTTATACCCACGACATATTTGACTCTTACGACTTTCGACGGCCTTTCAGGTAAGGGAAGAGTTTGGTTTGCGGAGATTGCCTTCATAATCCTTGCATGCAACTGTCAGAGAGATCATCAAAGTTATAAATCTGGACAGCTACCTACACTTCAGTCGCAGATCTCAACTGATACAGAGTTATCCTCCATGCATCGAGCTGCATTTCAAGATTGATACTATATGTTATGAGTGCAGATTAGAGGCTAAACTCTCATACTGAACCTTTACGCTTGGATCCAAATTTGTAAACAGTAGGGATTTATTAGGGTCTGTCTTCGCGCACTCCAGTAACAACGAAATAAAGGGAGTCGCGCTGCAAAAAGCCTAATCTTTAAACTCGCAAATCTGCTGTCTGACAGGATCTTCCCGAAGTACCCATCTATCCTTCTGTATTACGGGGAAAAGAGGTCACAGTAAATTAACGAAAACTTTGGGAAGACCAAATAATGATACAAAGCCTTTCGTGTTATGCAATCTGTTCCTTTTGATAGAGATAAATATATGCTGAACATTAGCACACGAGCTGAGACCGGAGCTTTCACACGATGGCCATTCTCTATGTGAATTTGGTACTGACAACCAAGCACACATTGAAATAAAGCAGGACCTTAATGATATAGATAGATCCACGGCCCACGAGATGAGGATGTGTCTGGACCATTTGTAATTGAAGTTTTGCATACGTGCCCGTGAGCCTACTTACAGCACAGTCTATTACACTTTCTAGACTAGAAGGGCCTCGTCACAATTATCCCAGTGCACATATCTCATAGTCCAGGAGTCTTATTTCTTGATAATTCTGGCTGAATTCTTCTCACAAGCACTACCTTCAATTCACTTATTAAAGCTCACAGCAGTTTCCTGTGAAAGTATAAATCCGAACTGGATGGCGAAGCCTGTTTCAAGCTGATAAGCTGCAGTAAGAGCGACGTAAGCTTCCTTGTCGGAATGTACGCAACATTTGGAGGTGCAGTAATCCTTAAGACGTGGGCACAGCGTGCTAAGAGCTACTCCACAAGTGGTTAAGGTCTGAGTGCAACAAGTGAAGTAAAGTCTTCACGACTGCATAGCTCATGTTTGTAAGAGAAGAGCTATGTCTAGGCAGAGTGGTAGACGAGTCGTCTTGCAGGTCTTTCCAGCATGAAACTTCGAACGCAGCGATACCAGAGTCTTAAGAACATTGTCCCATCCCACCTTCGAGAACAGAGCACTAGCGTCCCAACGGCGTCAAGAACGTGACTGAAATTTAAATCAGTCTCCGAATGTTCACTCTCTTGAATGATGAGGGATTTTGACGTCCTCTCTGATCTCAGGTGTATATATTGTGTAGTGATTAATCGCAAGATAGAGCCTACATCAAATTTTCTTTTAGAGGTGAATTGATTTGCAAGACAAATTTAAGGCTTCCAGCAAGTTACAAATTTTCACCTCCGAACTTCTATCGTGACGGTAAGCCCATCGTGGAGACCATTATTCTTTCATGATACATCGAGATGAGTTGAACTTCCAGACTTTTGGCTTTCTCTACCAGTTACTACTGAATGACCTTCTTCTTATAATCAACCGTTTGGCAGTATTTTCCTTGGAAGTGGATGCGGATCTGCAGGTTGAAATGACTGTCAGTCAATCTTAGTTCAGTTTCTTCGATGGAATTTAAGTCAGGATTTCACTTCGGGTGCCTTATTATGAATTTTGGAAACAAAAGTCGCTCCTCCTATTAAGTGCTCCTGTTGATTTCTGGTGAATGCAAAATTCAATTTAGTGTTAGGACATTACACACACCTTTCTTGCCTAGTTAGATCCGCTGCCATGGGAACTTTACAGACCTAACTGGCACTGAGTGAGACGTAAACACGATTGTACCTGTAACTAATGAATTTGATTCCTGCCAGAACTAGTTCGAGCCTGATTTCCAAATCCTGCGGAGACTCAATTCGGCCTTGCTGTGTACAGGTATCACAAATCAAATGATAACGAGGCAATCAGCTAAGATGAGCATCATTTCAGTTGAATTAATTCTCCAAGCGTGCAGACAGAATTGCTCAAATTCAGGTGAAGAGAAGAACTGATCAATCTGTTTGATTAGTATATTTGCGCATGCTTTGGATTTGACCCAGTTGAGGTTCTAATTGTCTGCAGTTTGTCAACCCGAATGTCATCCCCTCACAATATCTGTTCCCAGTCTAGCAGTGTGGATTTTACACCTTGACACCGAATCTTACAAGAACCTTATCAGTATGAATAGAGCTTACTCGTTAATGAACCAGAAATGATCGTCACGGACATTCCTGCCAAGACGGGTAATGATTGATAATTTTGTCTATAGTACAATTAGCTGCTCTTTATCTTTTGTTAGTGGTCGACAATTATAACGTGGAGCAGTAGCCAAACAGACTCGAGCAGAAACGTTGTTACCCCTATCTCGCCTCCATCTAATCAGTAGAAAATATTCCAGGCTTTATCTGTTTCAGTTATTCAGTCATTCACTCAACCTCCTTGTACAAGACCACATTTTCCTTCGTCCAGGCACGAGGTACCAACTCCTTTTCAGTCAATCAGATCTTGGAGACCGGCCTGAGATGACAGGCCAGTCAGATAAGGTGATTCGGCTTACTGAACTGGTTCGCCTTTCAGCTTTAAGCCTTAAGCAGGCTGCTTTTCTCTGACGTGCAAATTTTGAAGACGTGATGGGGAGATTCAGAGCTCCAGTGAAATGTACATTCTGTAGGTGTTTAAAAATCCATCACGGAAGCGATTCTCCGTTATGACCGACCCTTGACTCACTAAATGAAAACCTGTCTTCAGACCGCATAATAAAGTTGTTTGTGCACGCAAAGTCATAAAGTACAGTTATAATTGACTGTCAGCGCAATCACCGCCAATCCAACCTCTGTGAGCGATGCACGTGGAGGTCAACTATGGCGTAACGAGATTCATTTCTTTCATACTAGTTGCCTCGCATCCAGCGAAGACTTTAAATAACGTGAAGCAGATGAAGGTACACGAATTTCTCTAAAGCACATCAACCCCGAATTCATCCAAATGCATTTGTTGCCCTGAGTTCATACTTTGTTCCGCTCTTTTGCTGCGATGTTATTGGAGGGCTAAAGTGGTAGAGGTTGCAAACTCGAGGCATGAACTGTAAGAAAGAGGATTAAGCAAACTTAATGACAGCTTAGATCTCGATCAAGATAAACAGAATCTCATCCCAACTTGCGTTCACTGTTCATGATCACAACAGCTGCACTGCATCAACAGGGACAGTTAATGCTCGAATATGGTGTTTAGTTATTACGGCCAACACGACACGAGTGCACTGTAAGTGCTAGTATAATGCTTTCACTGTGCATGGGAAGCAAACGTGAAGCTCCTCCCCAAATCGATTCTACAGACTGTTCATACAAAGGCAGATTATGACAACCATGACAGTCACAATGACCGTATTTCCGGCCCGAGGCGAAATTCGTTGTACCACCGAAACATGAGGCACAAATTTAGCAGATCCCTCCCACCGGAGAAGCAGATTAACAGCTGCCATGGCCTCTTCAGAACTCAATGCCGCTGACATTATAAACGGTGTACGTGGTGCCCTACTATCAGACAAACTGGAGCAAGAAGAGGTATCAGACTCTTCAATGATTCTTAGATTCATCGCAAGGTACAAAGACTGAGTCCATGATGTTCAACTAAGCACCAGCTAGTGGCAATGACAGCCATTTGCACAATCAACTTTGAGGCGGCTTCAAGCTCTATCTCTACACAGGATGATAGGAGTTGCAGCCAACTCCATACTTTCCAGATCATGGCAGTATATCAAGGCTTGAACTAGATCTTCGCATCTCGACTGTGGTTTATTATGAACCTCCTTTAGATAAATCTTTTTCTGTTGTCCGGTCTCATTCCCTCACAATTTCCCTGCCTTCCACTCACGGGCAGGATGGGTGGGGGGGCCCAACGAACGAACAGAAAATCAGTGTCTCCAAGTGTCAAAGAATGGGCTCTAATGTTTAATGTATATGCGAGAAATAGTAACAGCAGTTGGTGGACTGGAGAGAGACCCTGGATCCAGTGAAATCCAGCATCACAAGTGAGTATTGACTTAGACATTGCGTGCACTAACCTGGCCGAAAGTCAATTTCTTTCGAGGGACTTCAGCTTATATAATGTTCCACACCGTCGGTACATTTCGTATCGCAGACATACGAAGACAGATCTTAGACCAACCGACCTTGAACTGGCTCGAAGCAGGTTTTTTGATAAATTTGGAGCTCTGCTCTCTCTCGAATAGATTTAGCTAATTATGGGGTTCCTATCGTCTTGGATCAGCGAAGAACTAAGGCCTGCTTACGAGAAGATGCCATTTGGGTACAAGCTCTGCTTGCTGGTATGTTTGACACGTTTTTGTAATGTTGCTAATATTTCAGTCTCACGCTAACAGTTCATGGGCTGTTGGACACTTTCACATTCGAGAAGCTTTTTTGAGATTGATGTAATTTGCTCCCGAAACTAGCGTAGCTACTTGGCTTTCAGACAGTGAGATTATGACTTCTATCAAGAACTGAGACACAACGGTAACTGCAATGAACCTTCTAATTAACAGAGAGGTTCATGTCCTGCTTTCATCATCTTTACTCTCAAGATGAACGAACCTCAATTGTATTATAAAATTTTCGTTGATGAAATTGACAAGCGGCCCTGTTTTATGTATCATGTGTGGAACGATGTGTATAGTATGTGAACCTTTCCGATAGGCACCTGAAATGGTACAAAGTACCCGTGTTCCTGGGCCTCGTGTACCTCGAATTGCGAAGGCTGCTACATCAAAAGTATAACCTTATCGCCGTAGGTCCTCCTGATGAAGACAGTGGAGACCAGTACTCCTTCTTCGGCCGAAATATGGACCAACAATCTCAACAAGATGAAGTAAGACAGAAGAACATTCTACGCACATATCACAGTGCACTCCATGTGTTAAACCCCTTCTCTTCACGTGCTTTTCATCCAGGAAATTTCAGGAATTCTTTGCAGTTTCAAGCATCAAGCATCAAGCCTCAAGTCCCCGAGAAATGAGCAAAATTTGCCCTTATCACTTTGACTGTACATACGTAGTCCCGGAATGTGATCAATGAAATTTGTGATATCATTTACTGCAGATTGCAATTCTTCTCTTCAGTATGAAATCTCAGAGTCTTCGACTTTAGGGCCCGTAATGATTTACAAGAGATGTGAGAGGGAACGTGCCAATAGTCCACATGTAATTTGGTGAAATCCACCCATGTGCAGCTACTCCTTCCTCATCCTTCTGTGATTGCCACAAAGCTTCTGAACCGAACCACATTCGTCGGCACGGGTAAACAATTCAACATGCTAGCGACATCGTGGATAAACTACATGATCAAAGACTGGCTCGATCACATGGAAGACGACTCCCATCAGGTACAGCAATCAACGTACAGAACGAGCTGCCAATCATCACAGTCCTCTTCGTTTCTCTGAACGTGAGAGACATGGCTTCCACGGAGATCCAATCTGTTGTCTCACCACATTTTCTTGCAATATGGTGCTCATCCAATTCATCCTATTTTCACTTCTCTTTATGGTTGAAGCTCTGCCTCAGCGAGCAGAATGGAGAAATGGTCGACGTGTCGATTTTTGTGCTAAATTGAAAACTGATCGAGGGTACTGCGCTGCAGCTGCTTGGCATCACCGCTCCTGACTCTGTGGCGGCGGAATGCCCCTTGAAGACTTTCAAGTTCTATCCCACAAGGGAGTTTCCCATTGGAGAAGGGCGAGTTGGTTTCAAAAACACACGAACCGCTTGGTGGTAAGAATTTCGACGAAGAGATGAAATGCGATTTCGTCAGCATCTGTTAGATTGAGTCTTTCGTCATTTCTTCCTCGTTTCCCGAGATCCACTTCTACAACGTAATCGTGACGGGTGACAGCGATTATGGACAGGGATGCGAGTGCTATTTACGGGCAGAACACTGAATCCCAAAGATCGGTAAGGACATTCAACGATGGGAAGCTGAAGCTTGGAGACGGAGGACTTCTTGAAGTCGATAGCCGCAATATTCCCATCACTGGCGATGCGAGAAATCCGTGGATGGGAGTCTCTGTCTTACAGTCCCTCTTTGTCTCCGAACACAACCTCGTCTGCGATACCCTCAAGGTGATTACTTTCGAGCATTTGTGCATGGAACCAGAGCTAGAAGTTGCGTCGAAAATTCAATTCTGAATTTTCTTCTAACCGAGCGAATTTGAGAGATTTTTAAGTCTGAGAAATATTTCTCTGGACTCGTAACTATCTCAAATCATGGACTGAAAAAGTCCTCAAGATTACTGCCTCGTTGGTAAGACGAATTTTGGAGGTGAGGGGTATTCAGCATTACATCCTTTCTCGATATCGTCAGCAGCCTGATAAATATTTCCGGCAATCGAGAGAAGAAATCTCGAGGCACGACAGATGCTCAGATAATTGTGCTTGTGTCTCGCCCGAGACTTGCTCATCGATGTACGAATCATTTTGGCAATCGGAGAAAGAGTCTTGTGAGTCCTCGGATATAAATTTTGATACCATTACTTGACGAGAATGCAGAATGCTTATCCGAATCTCGACGATGAATCTCTTTTCCAACATGGGAGGCTTGTGGTTATGGCTGAAGCTGCAAAGATCCATACCATCGACTGGACCACCCAGCTGCTAAAAACGAACACTTTACTTGCAGCCATGAGAGCTAATTGGTAAGGTCCGGATCCCTCATAGCCATCCCTTACAAGGTTTCTAGGACTAATCAACAGCCAAGATGCCGGTTTCAATTCATTCCTCAACTTCGTAGTCGTCACTAATGGATGGTCAAATGGTAAGTCAGTCTGAATTCATGTCAAGTGCACTCGACCTGAAAGAGTTAATGTCGTTAAACAAATGCATTAACCCTCTGTGATCCACAACGAGGTAAAGCTGAATGCATTCCATGTGTCAACCACGTCTATCTATCTCGTCAGTTCCGGTTGTACTTCGTGTTTGCAGATTCATCACAAAGGGGCCTGGAGCTTGAAAGGTGCGTTGTGAGCACTGCTGATATCACAGTGACTTAATTGTGCTGATGCACCTTACGAAAGTGTTTCAGGTATGGGCTGCTGGGGAAGTGGATCAAGGACCATATAGGGAAGACAAGCATTGCTCTTTTGAGTGGAATAGCTGGAGCCCCAAAACCCATAGACCATGGCGTCCCATACTCGTTGACGGAGGAATTCACATCGGTCTACCGGATGCATCCTCTTTTGCCGGAGAAGATCGAGTTCAGGGACATTCAGAAATGTTTGCCTAAGGATAGCGAACCCTCCATACTGGAAGAGTAAGTAAGCTACCAAACTCCCACAACCGACTGTTGCACGTCTGGAGTTCGAGATTTCCTGGGTGAAACTATGATTGAATTTATGTTGCTCAGTGTGTGATGTGATTCCATCGATCATCATCAGGAATCTCCCTCGTTTGCAGAGTTCCAATGTTAGAGCTGATCGGTGCACCAGGGCTTCAGAAGGCCAAGTTGTTGGGAATGAAGACCGCACTGACATCCTTGGGCCTCCAACCATCCGGAGCACTGAATCTGTTCAACTATCCCACATGGATGCGAAATCTTCCTGTCACCAACGATGACGGCACTTACCGTAAAGAGCACGTGGACTTACCGGCAATTGAAAGTAAACATCACGGTTCCAGTTCATAGCTGCAGATGTTAACATTATTTGAGACCTTAATGACATTTTGCAATTTTATCCAATTCACGCAGTGAACGTTTCTTTCACTTATTTCACATCCTACAACATTGACAAATGCTCCAAAAGCTGACTATACTGAACATGTGCAGCTGTAAGATCTATTGAGTTCCAAAAAAACAGATCGGAACGGACATTCAACAGATCTCGACATTCAACTTTGATTTTGGTTGTTGTTATTTACTAATCTTAATTTCTCGTGCAGCATTCAGAGATCGCTCTCGGCGAGTGGCTCGTTATAACCAATTCCGGAGAAGTATGTTAATGCCTGCCATCAAGAAATGGGAGGATTTGACTGACGAAGCTGCCACCATCGAAGTCATCAAGGAGGTTTACGGTGATGACGTGGAAAAGCTGGATCTCTTGGTGGGGCTTCTAGGAGAGAAGAAGATTCCTGGCTTCGCAATCAGTGAGACAGCGTTCTTCATCTTCGTACTCATGGCCACGAGGTACAACCTCACCCACCAGCTCTTGCCAAGCACGACCATGTATATATTCTTGCACAAGCTGATTATGTTGTAAAATATAAAGAGAGGGATAAAGTAGTAGAATCTTGATATGATACAATATAAGTTACCAAATGTCTGTAGAGATTACTTAGACTACCTTTCTAAATTATTCCCTCGCCCCATTTTCATTTTTTACGCAACATGGTAGATTTATATGAAGATGGATCGGATCAGAGAGAAGAATACTCTTCCTTAATCGAACTCCACTTCTACGACTCGGAGCATTATGTTGGCATTGAGTCCTCCGGGCCAGTGTCAGACACGTTCCTCTGATTAAATATCTCAAGAGCTGGTAGAAGTAGCGGTACCGTGCAAGCTGACTTATCTACCTGGATATTCTTTGCATATATGAAATTACTCTGATGTAAAAACATATCCTTGCATCAGAAAAGTTACTGATGATGTCGAATTGCTCTGAGCAGGAGACTGGAATCGGATGCGCGGTTTACCTCTAGATTCAACGAGGAAAATTACACGAAGATAGGACTGCAGTGGGTCAACAAAACAGAAGGCTTGAAAGATGTGGTTCAACGCCATTATCCCGACATTGTCACAAACTGGATGACTGCTAGTTCTGCATTCTCGATTTGGAGCGCTCCCGCCGACAAATGGAACCCCGTACCTCTCTACCTTCGTCTACCTTGAGGATTTGGCTCCACAATCTCCGTATCACAAGCCACTCCTTCTGGAAAATCTGAAGTTTTACAGGTATTTACAGGTATTTAGTTGATAACCTGCTTACATACTTTTTGTACAGAGCAAGTTCCAGCGTGTGAGGACAAAGTCTCAGTCGTCGTGCTTCGAGGCTGTCGTGAGCACGTTTCAGCCTAATTTCTAAACTCTCGCTGTACATGTCTAACTTCTGTGAATATTTAGAGAGGTTGAAAAATTTTACTCCGATTATGTTAAAGAGTCAGAGCGTAGAAGAAAAGCCATTCATTCTTCGCATGTTTGTTCATACACTCCGGACCTAATGGGTTATTTCAAGGTCTATTCTTTTATACTTTGCAAAAATCTCCACTGTTTTGTTTCATCATGCTTTATTAAACTCATTTATATCCACAATATTAAGCTGAACTCCGATTTTATCGATGCAAACTCACAACCTTTGTCGGTTAAATCTCTCACGAAAACGTTCAGATTTAATGATCGTAACTAGCTCTGTGCAATATTCTTAACATGGCTAATATGATCAAAACCTTCCATTCAAATCGATTATTGCATGCATTCATGCATGTGAAAGAAGCGATTCTTTCATGAAGAAGTAGCGAAAGCTGCTTGATGTGATTTGAGACCGACTCGGGAATTAGCAAGGACGGAGGAATTTTGGATTTCAGCACTAACATCTGCCGCAATTTTCGTAAAGTTCTGATAACCGGAAACTCCGAGTACTTTGGAAGCAATCGAACTGAAGATCAACAGTTCTAAACCCCTAGATTACCGAAAGATTACATCCCGTCTCGTTGACATCGAAGCAATGAGCATTGTCAAAAGGCAGCCGCCACAGCCAGAAGATGTCAAGGATTGACTCCCAACGAAAATAGCTGCATTCAAGGCTCATGCGGTCTTCACGTTCTGATCACAAAGAAAAAAATTGCAGAATCGAACTTGCACTTGAAGAATTGCACGGCGGTCATCAACTGCAGTTGCCTACATTTGAGCCAAAGTCCGGATATTCCAGGGAGAACTTGCCTTGACCGAGCCAGACCAGAATCTCTGCGCCATCAATTCATACACAGCGGACGTTGGATGATACTCATCCCAAAAGAAATAAGCCTTGGGGCTCTCGCAGGGTTTAAAACCTCGGGAACACGTCTTCAGGCCTCCATAAGGACCCGCTCCACAGCAAGACTGGTCGATGGAACCCAATCCTGGCCCACAGAACAAGGGGCAAACGAATAGTTGAGCGAAGATCGCGCGCTACAGTTACCCAGTTTGTCTGAGAAATACTCAAGATAAGAATCCAATCCGAGCTAACACAAGAGAACCTGAAACCGAGTCGTTTGAAGCTTTAAATTTTCTTAACTGAAACCACATTCGATCAGAATTACCATAGGAAGTAGCGTTAGAGGCTATGTCGAGGAAGACATGATAGGCGTCATTGTAGACCAGCTTGACTCCGTGCAAATGTTTTCGCAGCGAGCGAAGTTCTTTCTGGAGTAAAATATTATATTGCACCACCAGCTGGTTGACTTGCCCTATACATTCCCCCTGCCTGCTACCCATCTTGAACAGGATTGAAGGTATGCAGCCCAAAGGTGACAGGGAAGTTATCACAATCTTCCTCGCTCCCACTCTGTACAGTTTCTGCAAGTAAAAGCCCATTTTCTATCTGAGATAAGCACATCATGTTCTATTCCACAGCAAGCTAGCTTGCTGTGGAAAAACACAGGGTTGATATCAATCAATTAGTAGACAACTATTTTCAGGATGTTGAAGATCCTTCTTTAAGATACCTCCTCACGTGGACCAGTGAAATCCAGGCTCGAGGAAAACAAAAGAGGCATTGACTTCGTCTTCTCTCTCTCACCTTGATGAGGTCGCTGAAAGATGAAACGAGCAGTCTTTCATATCCATCGGGGAAAATATCCAAGTGAGGATTTCCAGGCAAGAGGTAATTATTTATAAAGTCGTTGCTTCCTGTTGAAATGTAGTATATAGAACCCGCGACCAGCCTCGAGGCAGCTGTGGCCCCCAATTCCTCATTCAAGCGTTGCTTCACAATCGAAAACTGCTCCAGCTGCTGCGAAAGGGACACATACTCTCCCTGTGCTTCAAAAAATGTGCACCAATAATTATCGCCAGTATGCAAGTAAGATCCAAACGTACAAACCACTCTCGAGCTCCTATATTAATAAATCACCGTTCGTTGACAAGTCTGTGACAAAGTCTTGCATCTGCATCTGAGCAATATTATTAATATCTGAATATTTGACGTGCACGTCCGTTCTAAGACGTAGAATATAAGCTTCAAAATCTTACAAAGATGGTCCCAGTATCATTGAGAATGCCAGATCCAGCCGAGGCAAAGTTGACACCCTTGGAAATATCCGACGTTGAGTTCATCAAGAGGTAAGCCGGAATCAAGGGCATATCCAGATATGATGCTGCATCACGCGGATGATCAGGATCGGTGTCAGTCACTAGCAAGAGATCATGAATGTTTAGTCAATATTCAAGTGATTCACATCAAAAGATGGACCCACTGGATAGATTACGTCTCGTAAATCGAAACAAGTAGGTAGCAATCTATGAGGTTAACGGAGGAAAGTATCATCCGTGAGTCAAGAGTTGATACAGGGCGACGGCGGACCTAGCCGACTCTGAGAATGGACTTGGATCACACGTACCCAGATAGTCAACAGCCAGACGGCCGTTGCTGAAGCGTCCCGTCGGCTCATGGGTATCGAAGTCCTGACCGTATGGAGGAAAGGTCGCCTGCGCCAGAGTTATCAGATTGTTGTTGTTGCCCACGTCCACGGTGGAATCTCCCATGATAAACAACGCAGGCACTCCTCCTCGAGCAGCAGTTGCCAGACGCCGTCGTGGGCTGGACTCGCGATGCCCCATTCCACTCGTCCCCAGCAACATGATCGCTGACGCTATCCCTGCAGCAATCAGTGATATTCTTCGAATTACGTACGAAGCTGTCATTGTACCCCCTCCCCGGCTGGACAGCGAAGATTCGAGTTCCTCGGTGTATCCCGATGTGCGTCTGTGACTCGACTTTGTCGTGGAATGAACTCGAGAGAGGGTGGAACATCACACGACGCCTTCTTATATAGCTGCCAAATCTCAGCTTGAGTGCTCTGAGGAAGCACGGCGGCGCCATAGGGATTTTGATACTCCGCTCGTCGTTGCAGATACGTGGAATACAGTTAACTGCGATGAGATTGGTACGTCCATCATTGTCCAGATTCGTGCTTGGATTGAGGAGATGGCTCGTCAAAATTATGATGAGCATTTTAACAAATAGCCGAGATGCCAACGGAGAAATGGCCGGAGAAATGCATGGAGGCTTTTTGTCTCACGTGACCGGCAATCAAAGCCCACAACTGCGTCTAATGATTCTCCCTCGTCTTCATCTGAGGAACTCCCCCAGTTTCTAAACGCGAATCACTTTTCGGGCAAGAGTATCCGATTCAGAAGTCACCACCGGCAGGCAAAATTCATGTACATCTTTATTTGCGGCCCCGTATGCTCCCGCTGTATAATTGAAAGACCAACTTGAAGGCGGCGATGAAATAAAGTACGGAGGCAAGTTTATTCGATCCGCGCGTAAGATCTCACCATCGAAGGTCAAGTAGGAAGCCTTATTAAAGCTTACATCCGTACTTGTCCTTCAGGACTTTCTTCCGATCCTTTTGGCTGTATTATAAAGTCCCCTCATCTTTCTTACCGATGGAATCAAGCGCGGAAGGTTATTGCTGTCAAGGTACAGTACATCCGGCACAACGGCAACGGATTTTTCCAACCGCGAAATAATCCTGTTTAACTAGAAATACAGTATAGACCATGAACAGGTTTTATAATTTTCTACAACACCAATTGAACTGGTTATTAACCGAAGTTTTACTACACGACAGAATAGGGCTCTAATATTTCTTTCGGTCGTGCTTCGAAATAGGTCACGATGAATAGAGACCAATAAATGTTGGGGAGGGCTAGTTATCACTAGCTTGGGGCTAATATGTCTCACTCTAGTATATGCGATTTTCTGTTTGGTCCATCACCCTTATTGCTATTCATCCCAGAACCTATAACCCTGCCATCCACCAATATATGAGATATAACTTACCCTTCCTTACAGCCCTTCCTTGTGGGTATGGGTAGTTATTTTTCACTTAGGGTTAATTAACCCTCACACTAGTATATGCTATATTTTTATTGGTAGAACACGTTACAATGATTGTCTATATAGGAATCTATAACCCTGCACCTACGAATGAAAAGTAATATTCGAGTGGAATGATTAGCCTAGATGAGGGATAAATAGCCGTTCTTTAAATTCTTCAACATATAGTACAAGAACGAAACATAGCTCCTATGGAAATTTGCAATAAGTGGGTTAAAGATGTAAACAAAGACTCGTCATAACATAGAACCGTTGCTTCCTATTTACGGGTTAGATAAATTATTTCAAATTCAAAAAGTATACATTCTTCCGACAAAGACATACTACAACCGCGCACCTCGTAGTTTTGCTTTGAATCATTTGATTTCAACTTGTAATAAAATAATTAGCGTGGGCATATCTATTCGATCTAATTAATTTTTTTCAATTTCTCATTAATTTTTTAATCGGGTTAATAAATCTAAAGATAACCTACTTTGGATCAGAGAAGTTTCTCATTGAACGAATATAAAGGTATTTTTAATATACTGTGAAAGAAAATAACATATATTTTTTAGATATTTATTCCAAAATATGAGGTCTAAGCAGTATACATATTAATGAATACAGCACGTTTAAGTTTGGCACTACAATCTCATTTCATATTTTGTGCATTATTTATTAAAATAATAAAACATTCCCGTGTTTGTAAAAATTTATGCTGAACTCAGATTAATAAAACCTCTTAAAATTCAAATTATGCTAACATCTTTCAAAGTTTTCACTTGTAAAGATATTTCTATCATCTTTGATTTCCAAAAATTTCGTTCATGGAAAAAAATACATTATATATAACATGTATACATTTGCAATTACAGATTAAAAATAATTTAAAATTTTAATATTTAAGAAATTTTATATAGTTTGAACTCTATCAATTTAATAACATCCATGTTTACACTTTACTCTTCGCATCTAAAAATACACTAGAAATTTGCCTGACGGATCCCATCAGGTTGCTTGATGTGACCCAAAACATTCTATTTTAAACTCTGGTATACTTTTTCGGGTCACCAATGTTCTATTGTGAGTTTTTGTAATTACTTTCAATCCGGGTTAGTAAAATCACTTCGTCTATTTGTTGAAAAGTGACCTCTCCACGGATCACTCCAAGGACCAAAAGAATCAATTTACTTCGGCCAGTAGTTTTAGAAAAAAAAATAAAGAGTAAGTAGATTACGCCCCATACATTATAACTGTAAAATCATTATGGAACTTGAGAAATTGATTCATTACGATGATTGGAAATCTGACTAACTTAAATCGGGGAAGAATTATTATTTTTCATAGAAGTGGAAACAAAGCAGTTACAAGTATTGGGACCCAATACTTGTAAGCGAATCATGGGTCACATCAAGCAAATTTCTCAAGAATACACTTATATTCAGTTTAACAATATGTGGAATAGTAGTTGCAGGTATTCAGTCAGGAATGAGATGTCAACATTGGTTCAAACTTACTAAAGACTGTGTCTTAGAATTGAAACAGCTATTGCTCGAAGGGCAGTTCTGTGATTTGGTGCTGTACCTAGATCCACAGTGCAGAAGAACTGCAACCGAGGGCTCTTTTCCCTTAACGGTGAGTTGCTGCTTTCTGAGTGGCTTGTAAGAGGTCTGTTCTGTCAATTCTGGAGGGCCACAGGGAATTCTGATTCCGTCGAACCGACGGCATTTGTGGAATTTGCAGCTTTGTAAATGTGCAAAGCCTTCGTAGGCTGTTCTGTCAATTCTGGAGGGCCACAGGGAATTCTGATTCCGTCGAACCGACGGCATTTGTGGAATTTGCAGCTTTGTAAATGTGCAAAGCCTTCGTAGGCTGCCTGTAACATTTTTCATTCCGCCTCTGAACTACCAGTCTGGAGCAGTAATTTGTTCAATGGTGAGTTCTCTACTGTACCTCAACAGTATCATGAATGGCATTGGATTCTACCGTTGAATTTTTGTGGTTTGCGTGGTAAACCCTAGCACGATAATGTGTTTCGTACAGCTGAACTGCTCCACGGGAACGAATTTTTGTTTAGAGCTCCGTCGATTTGGTCGAGAGCCTTTGAGATTCCTAGCGCCAAGGCTTTTTTCTCTCTTTCTTCCGCGTTTGAAATCTCGGGAAGTTTGAGCAATTTTTGACCTGTACAAGTTTCGATCATTCTAAGGATTTGGGAACATTTGTTGGCGGAATTGGTGATCGCCGAGGAGACACGTAGGCCGTGAGAACACATATGTTTGTTGCAAAAGTTGACCTAAATTCTTCATTTTCCACTATCCAGACAACATACGCTTATGAAATTGAGAACCCATGTAACAGTTGATTACGTATTCTTGTGACGTGCGCGACGCTTTACTGGACCAGCTATTGAACTGTAATTTGTACAAATATTTGCGCTTCCTTTGTTCTCAATTTTGCTCGACAGTGTACTCTCTTCAAATAGTTTGAGACAATAATCGCTAGAGAATCTATGATACATGTCCTTTGTTCAAATTTCTGGGAAGATTATGAGGAGTCCTAATACTGCGCTCTGTAACTATCCAGGAAATGTTGATCAGCTTTCGATACAGAGGCATACCAAACTTTGTCCTGACGCAAGTTTGATACTCCTGAAATGCAGCATCAAGTTAGAAGCTGAAAAGTTGGTGCGGAATTATGACGTAGAACAGCCGATTCATTAATAGTGTGCGATGCTGTGTTATTTCAAGTCTGAGCTGGAAAATCAGCAGCGAGGTTTCAAAGACTCTGATGAGCGAAAGGAATCTGTTGAGCCATGGCCCCTCTCCCACCCAAAGCCAGTAAAGTCCAGGAGAGGGTCCTGAAAGCAGCTGCATTGGGCAGTGTGAAAGTCTTACGGGGTCTTCTTGGCTCTCACAGTCATATCATATCTAAGCGCGGTAGGAAATTGGAGAGACGGGCTTCTAAGACGAGTGGGAGGAAGAAGTACGAACGTTCAGATTATAAGAGCAGCAGTGGAAAGAGCAGGAAGCGAACTAGACGAAGTAGCAGAGAAACTCGACGGAGAGGAGACGAGAGAAAGCGGAGAGAGTTGGATTTAGAATCCAATTCGGATTCCGATTGCGGAGACGGCAACGATGCCGAAACCTCGGAATCAACACAGTTGGAGAGAGACTCATCTGACTCAGGTTCAAACGAGAAGACACGTAAAAAGGCCCGTCCCTTTGAAACATTGTGTGACATTGTCAATGGTAGGGATTCCGACGGGCTATCTCCACTTCATCATGCGTGCTATGCCGGGTCCGATAGGGCTGTGAAGTATCTCATATCGAAAGGCGCAAGTGTGCATGCTCGAGACTCGAAAGGAAACACGCCCTTGCACATAGCCGCAAAATTGGGGCTGCTGCCTCTTGTATCTCGTCTTCTGAGGGCCGGTGGAAATCTTGAGGCTTTCAACGATGACGGTGTGACACCGTCAGATATTCTCTCAAAGACGAATGAGCCAAAGGAGGAGGCGTTTGAACCTCCACAGCAGCAGGATTGGTTCAATCATCTGGCTGATGAAATTAGCGACAATGAGTGGTGGGGTGAGAACTTCTCTGAAGCTCCCGAGCCCCAAGAGTGGGAGGATATTCTGTTGGAAAAGTTGGCAGAAAACTCCCAAGCAAGGGGCTTGTACAATGAGGATCTCTTCAGTCTCAGAGATTACCTTCGACAAGAGAAGGTGCGGAATGATGAGAAGCCTGAGAAGAAGCCCAAGAGCAAAGGCAAGGCTAAAGCAACAGACAAGGGTGAGCAGCAGAGATTGCCGGAAGAAGTGAAGTTGCACAAGGAAGTTATCACTGCAGATGCGCGCAGCTATTACAAGCGGTGGCAGCTGTTCTCGAATTCTTACAATTTATGTCTCTCATATGCTGATGTACCATTCCCTGTTCTTGAGGGAAAGGAAGAAACATTGGGACAAGTTCTTCTGCAGGGTATTGATCCAGCCAAGCACAGGGACGTTCTGAGGAAAGAGATTCTGAAGTGGCATCCAGGTATCTTTTTAAGTCTCTATCCTGAGCACATATATATGTGCTTCATATCATTTAGCCATCTCAACTAGCTCATTTCAATGTTTGTGGGAGTAGGTTACATTGAAAGCACTCAAGACTTCGTAGGTTCCGGAATCGCCATCTTAATTGTCATACAGTTTTTAATTTTGTAGTAAATGTCCCACATTCACTTCTTTCAAACTTGAACCATATTTGGTTCAACATTTGTGGTGGAAGATGTGAGCCACTTTGTAAAATTCCTGTCCTTTGATTTCTTCTATGATTTATCTACTTGTCAAAGTTGCGTCAAACTTGCATCACATCACAAGAGTATGAACAGTAGGTCCCTTAAGTGAGACTGATCCATATTTGTGGGGCGTATTTTAGTAAGCTTCAGTTGTAGCAGATTCGGGCCCAATATATCCTCTCCTGCTATCTGTTTGTAGCTGTGTTTATCTTCTCTGTATTTGTTTGGTCTCCAAGAGCAGAATTCGTGCAAACGAATTTCTTAGTTGTTACTTTCTAATTCTCCCTATAGTAGTTGTAATACTTTTAATGTTCAACTGAAAATGCGTCTGCACACGGTGAGAATGGCAACCTTTTTTATGTCATCATCTGAATCTACTGACATATACGTTGTTTCTTCCAGACAAATTCCTCCAAAAGTGGGGTCCGAAACTGCAGGGTCCTGATCATGACCGTATCGTGGCACGGGTGAATGGGATATCTCAAGCGCTTCATGTTCTTTACAAAGAGCCAGCTTCATCCAAATAAATGGGACTTGAAGAACCTGACTCAAATCTCAGCCTTCTTTTGGAAGTTCTCCCACTTTCGTGTTGAAGTGCCAATAGGTATGTAAACTCTTCATGTCATCGATACAAGCTGCCCCAACCTCGTCGTGCGACAACCCGAAAGCACAGAGCTCACATGCTTTTAGTCCTTACTGGTTACTGGCTTCTGTGTTTGGTTTGTTCGTAATTATTGGAGCCATGATTGGTGTCCATGTGCAGAATTGTCCTCATCTATAAGTTAATGCTACCCAGCAGTGGAGAATTTCGGAGGTCCTGGTGGACATCAATTCTGAAGCGCCCAAGAGGTTTAGCATCTGTTCCAGCTTTGATGCGATGGGTGAACGGCTGACAACCTTTGTTTCTTGTCTGGCTTGAACCAACGGGAGCAAAAGAACGAGAGTTGAATTGTCCGATATTCGTGAAGAAGGACCTCCACGATTTTCTTGTTCTTAGCAGCCTTACATTGTTTCCCTGAACACTATCCAAGTTCGTCTATATAAACATATCATAGAGCGACTGGTCTGTTCAATCCGACCTAAGAATGTTCTATATGTAGACGTAGGCAGGAACGTTGACGTTGCGTTGAGGAATGCAGTTGCTCTCACTAGTGGCACCTCTCAGTTCTTACTCAGTTTTTTGATCTTATCGACCTAATTAACGGCGGGCTATTGTGAGGGAGACTTCGTGGTTGTTACCTTCAGAGTTAGTGATCTAGGGAGATTTGACGACTGCATCTTTGCAGGGCTCAGACACTGATGTTCATAAATCTTTCACGCATGATGTATGATCATCAGATTTCGTCGTGTCGAGAACTCCAGCGTTCAGAGTCCAGGAATTATTGTAGCAGATATGAGCTCAAATGCATGATAACTGACATCGATAATCACAAGATATGCCGTTGTGTGCCTCGTCATCTGTCGCAATGAGTTCTTCATTTTTATATTATATATTTTTTGAAATAACCCCAATTTCGCGGGACGAGGCGACGTGTACAAACATACTCTTCTAGACCTCGGTGCATACTAAGGAGACGAGTTTCTTGATAATTTTCGGTGGCTCTAGTAAACAGATCCATTTTGATTCGTTTCTCAGTCCTTGTTCATAGAGAGTGCGAGTGGTATCATCATGGATACTACAGGGAAAGCAAATTGAAGAGCTCTGCCTGCCTGGGGCTCTGCTCTTAATAGAGCTTTCGTAAACACGTGATAGAGATCATTTCTCGTCAAAGGTGGTGTAACCATCGTATAGAATCTACACGACGCCAACACGAAACACGAAACCGAAACCGTAATCGACTGTAACGCGTTTGCTGAAGTAAAATCTTCAAAGTTTCAATTTGACACGTCCTTTCAATCTTCAGCTTCAAAGGCTTCTTTTCTTGGCTGAAACTTGGTCTGATTCTGTCGGCTCATTCAATAAGATTGAAGGGAATGAACGTAATATTTTTTACCCCTTTCATGATAGAACTGGCTATACCTTTGCGGTATAGTAGGTAGACACTCGGGCAGTCACGGAAGAGCGTGGTACAATTCGGCCTCTGAGAGGATGACAACTGTAACGAGCGAGCTGTTACTCGCATATTCAGCACACTGGGTAGGGATAAGGTTCTACTGTACTGGATAACATGTGAAGTCTGGTAAGGAAAGTATGTTATATTCATGATTGTGCGGTGTCGTCTACTTATATCTGGTTGGTTTTGCCCTCCAATTGCACTGAGTATAAGTAGAAATTTGGTACTCGTAATTGCGATGATCTGAATACAATTTGGTCCATATGCTTTTTGTCCTTGAACAGGCGTGACATACGGCCTTCTGTGGTGGATGAATGCTGGGCACTCTTCTACATGTGCTTCGCATTTCAAGGCTTTTTGAACGCATCATTCATCAACCGAAAAAAAGAGCGAAGAGCTCTTGGGGATAAGCATGGACGTGCTCATCCATTCTAATTTTACTTTCTTTGTATCCAAAATCATCGGCGTGCATAAATGAGGTATTGGATTTGAGTTCTTGGGATAATGAGTGCATTAGAAGTTGATAGCTTGCATTTGAGATACTATATATCAGTTGTAATACGTTGAGTGTATTATTCAAGAACAATTACAATTTCACGGGGGTGTTGATTTGTATTTATACTTAATTTGTTCATAAGAATATGTGAGTTATGAAAGTGAGATTGATCCATGTTCAATTTTTCACCATTTTTTCATTTGTTGACACAATATTACTGTATCCTCCCTTTCCTTGTAGAATTTTCACATATAATAAATTGTAAATCAAATAGTGATGCTAAACGTTATACTAAAGTAGCTGCAAACAATTTGCAGCTACTTTAGTATAGAGTTGAAGGCAAGAGTTGTAGAGGCTAAAGCCACTCTGGCCATATCTTTATTCATTTCGTGTAATTTTTGAGCATTGGCGAGATGGACCATTACTTTGGACCACTTGATACTCCGGAGTGAGACATTATATACAATATATATATATTTACAAAATTTATAACAAACAGTTTAGCTTCTAATAATTGAAATGAACAAACATAAACAAAGTACCGTATAAACTACACACTAGAGTGAAGAATCTACAACGTCTTTCAAATTTCTTGTATTAGCAAGATTGTAGTCAAGAACATAATTATAAAGGTAATTTAACAATATCAGTCTTTTAATCTCGTTTTTTAGTTACAAATAGTTATTAATACCAAGTCAATCTTTCAAGTCAAAGCTCCCCATTACTCTTTTTAGCAAGTTCCCAAAGTAAAAATCATGACATGTTTGTGAGTTTGGTTGTCATGATGATTGAAATGTCATCACTTTCTTTCGTTCATTTCATAGTCATTTAGTAAAATCTATCAATTGCTGGAAAAAATTGTAGTTGGTGCAATCCATTTGACATAGTGGAATCATATTTTATGTTGCTTTTTTGGATATAATTTGTTTTGAAATCAATTTGATCGATATTGTATTGATCAATTTTGAATCTGATAGATCAATTTTGAATTTGATTTGTTAGATAACTTGGAAATTTTAGGTGCAATTACATATATTTATCCATGTTAAGATAGTGGATTCTAGCCATTTTAAATACTTTTGAAAAAACTTCATGATATAATAGGCTTGGCCATGGTTCGGACTCGCGGTTAATTGTTGGTAGATTTAATCGGTGTCAATGTTTCCTTGGGATTGGTTAACTGGACCCATTTCGTCATCTAAGATTAATGTATTTTTTGTAAATGGTCTAGAATGTTTTTAGAGTGGGTAGTTTAATAATGGTTAGTAACCATATTGAGGCAGCTCAAACTACTCAACGTTAATGTTACAATCAACAATAATATGCTCGAACTGGTAAAGTATAACCATTAATTATCCTTCAGGCTGCCACAAATCTTAATTCTCAATTTCCATCCATTGATGTTGTCGATTGAGCAGTCAAAGAACAATAGCATGACCGACCCCATTATTGTCAGCGATTTGAAATCATCCTCATTCCGTAGTACACATGGATAATCTATCGCTGTCTATAGCCGAACAGCAACAACATCCACCGGGCGAACGCGGAAGGCAAAATCCTCTGCGAGTTGGATTTGATTCATTTCAAATTAGTGAAACAGTTCAATCAATCTAAGGTCATCACCCAAAAATTCACGAGTTCTCAAAACATTAGGTGAATTAAATCATTCTTTGCCAATACTAGATCAAGCTTATTGTTTTGTCATCTGCTAGTAAAACACAAGATGTAGAAAGATAAAAAAATTGGAGGCATTTTCAAGGATTGTGTTGAAATTCTAGGTCTGGGTATAGAGACATGCTGAAATTTCATCTTCATCATGATCAACTAGTACTTTCAATATTGTGATGTATTTTCAACGCTTTGTAATTTTGAACTATTCTGTGATGGGTTGAGCAATATGGTTTTGACCTACATGAATTTGTATGCTTTCAAATCATGCCAATACTTTTTGCTATCTGAACACCATTGCACTATTGTCGCAAGTGGACGTGGTTGCGTTTCACTTCCTCTCCCATCTCCGATTACAAGCATTTCCTTACTATGTGCAAAAAACCTCGTTTTTGACAACTAGACTGTGGATTCTTCACTCTGATCGTCAAAAAAATTGTTGTTGCCATGAAACTCAAGTAGCTAAAATATAATGCCAATCTTAATTGTCAAGTTTCCAAAATTGCTTTACTTCATGATACTCGATTTAGCAATACGTTCTTTGAAATGATGGAATTCAAAGACCTTATTTATTCATTTTGACGGTGGATTACAGCTTATGTTCGGAAAAACTGCTATTTTTAACTTCTAATATATTCAGTCTATTTGCTGGAGAGTTATACAGTGCCAATGAAAACACTGCACCCATTGACAAGATCAACGACTTTTTCATGCTCATGGCACAAGTGGATCATCACGTGTTTGACGTACTGTTGTGATGTAAACAACATTACAATTGTCTCTCGACCTTATCCAAGATTGGCCAATAACACGTTGATGGTTTAAGACTTTTTTGTGGCATCTGAATTGACGTTTTTGAAGAATGGTGATTTGTTTGTTTAGATTTATCAAAATTATCAACACAAAAACATCGAGATGATGATGAAAATGAAAAGATGGATTTGCTTATTCCAAAAGCAAGCTACTCAAAAAATGATGAAAGTTGGTCTCCATCACTATTTCTCAAAAAGTTTTGAATGGACCAATTAACTAGTTAACTAAATCTTGGCCAAACCTATGATATAATCTCTTACTTTTTTATGTATATTTCTTACTTATATTCTAACAAACTCCATGTAAATTAGAATAAGACAAATAATAACGATTATATAAGTTTACTGTATAATTTTAGTAGCAACAAAAATTCTCATGTTATTTTTTCAGTCAATCAAATTGACCTACAATATCCTCTTGTGTCTCATATAATTACTACAAAATTTTCTTGGTAGGGAGGTGAGCTTTCTGGGAAATAATCTTATACCGTAAACTTTCGTGAAATGTTTTAGACTCGATGATAGAATAATGAGAACCCTCTTCGTAAAGTTTAGCTTAAATTGCCACATATCTCTCGTAATGAAGCATTCTCCCACTTACAATTACAATAAATTTGTACATCTTTTACTTCTTACACGGCCTCGAAGACAGTATGTTGTATTGGAAATTTACTTTGTGTTAGTTTCAAACACGTAAAGAATGCTATTGCCAAAAGAACCCAGAATCTGCTTCAAGAATCTAAGATGGGAGTTGTCCAGAAGATTCACCCTCAACTTCTGAATCATATTCCGAGGACTTAATGATTTATTCACATGGCCCGAACATCATATACACCTCAGCATGTGACCCTTGAAATCACCACTTATCTGCCGCAAGTAGGAAATAATATACTCGCAATTTTCCAATAAAATAAACGGAGTCCATAGAAAAGAGGTCGCTCGAGTTGTCAGAAAATCTACCAAAGAAAGCTCAATGCAGCCAAAAATAAGAACGAAGAATAAGAACGAAGAATAAGAACCAAACTGAAGCCACAATCCAAATCATGGACGAGCGGAACGACAGAGGAATAAGTGCCAATGTGCCCAAATTGAGAGCGAAAATACGCGGCCATGGCCAGGCGAGGACATGCGGCCCAGACGAGAAAGAGAGAATTCGCGCAGCGGGGTGCAGTCGGCGCAGGCGAGTGTAGGCCAGAATAAATGCGGGCAGCGGCAGCACAGGCCTGATGGCGACCACCAGTTCGGCATGCAGGAGGAGAAGGAGAAGAGATTAGAATTAGACCCCGACACAAGGCCGTCGATTGGCTCACGGTGCGAGCAGTACGAGCCATGAGCATGTAGAGCTCAGCTCCATTACGTGGCACGCTCAGGGCACAAGCGCCGAGATCAGCCAGACATGGCACGCTCCGATTAGTCGCTCTCCAACCTCGCTCACTCGCTGCCTCCCTCTCCCCTCTCTCTCTCTGCTCTCTCGCTCGCTCCCCCGTCCCGCCTCGTCCAGTCCAGTCCAGTCCCGTTTCGGGCCAGGCCAAAAGACAAGGACGACACCGGCGCAGGACAGGACAGGACGGGACCGCCTCGGCTCGCCCCGCCAATCGGGCCCCGCGCCATCCCACCCCATCCCGTCCATTGCTCGGGGAGGTACTCGATCCTAAATCTGGAAAGCAAGCGAGAGCGTCAACGACGCCGAGACAGGAAGGGAAAGGAAGAGGGAGGGGAGGGGATGGGGACGGGGAGGGGAGGGATTGAAGGCAGGGGAGCCTTTATGGAAACATTATCTCTTTTGTGCCGATCGATTCGACCGGATCGATTGATCTCTTGATTTCTCGCCCGCTTGCTCGCGGGCTAGGCAAATCCTCCGCTCAGCTTTTCGCGCTGGTGCCTGCGTCGTCGTCGGATGGTCGTTGGTCGGTGGCTCGCTTCCTTCCTTCCTTCTCTTTGTTGGTTCGGCTGGGCTGAAGAAAAGGGCAGGGCCGACGACGAGAGGAAGGTCCATCTTCCGTCATCTTCACTCCACTTCGTCGCGGTCGGTCAGACTCCGAAACAGGCCCCACCTCCACTCCCAGCCCTCAACTCTCTCTGCCCCTCTCTGCCCTTCTCCTCTCACCCGTCCCGTCCCGTGCCTCGCCCCGTCCCCCTCCATCTGTGTTGCGCTGTGGTGCTGTCTTTTGCTTTCTTGATTTCTCCTGAGCTTACTGGACTTCTGGGGGCTGTCGTTTTCTCCTCTCCCTGCTTTCAACTTCGTCCTGCCTGCCCTGCCTGCCGCTCGGGGTCCCCTCGAAGGAGAGAGAGAGAAGAGAGGGAGGGAGAGAAAGTTGTGGTACAAAGTGTGGATATTTGGCGAGACGCGAGAAGGATAAGATAGATTTGGAAGATTCTGGAGTCGCGACTTGTGCTAGATGGCATGCGTTTTGGAGTCCAACGTGGTGGCCAGAAGGTGGGTGATGCAATTGCGCTCCCTCTCAACTGTCGAGTAGGTTAGGAAGCGAGTGAACGAGGCAGAGATAGTTCGGGGAAAGGAAAGGAGACGAAAGGAAAGGAAGCCGAGGGACGTGCCAGGAGAAGGGGATTTTGAGTCGAGAGCTCGTATTCGGGTTGGCCACGTTTTTACGAGACTGAGTGTTGAGGTCGGTGAGCACTTTTTTGCCCGCTAGACCTGTGTTGGGCATGTCCATTTCCCCACGTCAACAAACTTCTCCGACTTACAGTGCGGCTTGTCTAATATACCGTCGTTGTTCCGAGACGTGTGTAACCTGGCCTCGAGAGGTGTGATTGCTCCTCTGTCAGAGCAATTACTTGACAGTCTTTGCCTTGAAGTGAGGTGCCCTTGTGGTACATTTCACCTCTCTACATATCCTAAAACAAAGAAACTGTGTCCGTAGAGATGGGTCTCGCAATGCGTAGCAGATGTTGGCTGTTTGTGTAGAGCTTCTATTTCTGTCTTCAGGTTCGAAGACTTTGCGTGCGGTTGCCCTTGTAATTGCGGATTGCAGTAGCAACGTCTTGTGTAATTGACGAAGATTGACATTTTCTGTCGATTGAAGTAACCGAGACCTTAGGGAAGTCCTGTGTTGGGCATTCCTTAACGCTTAAATGAAATGCTATACTCCCTGTCTGTCGGAAAACTCCAGTTAGAAGCATGCACCAGATTTTTCTTCTTTCGCGATTTGCGAGCTTTTTAGTTTCCTAAATTGCAAAACTGAGGGCTTTTGGGATTCTGGGAACTCAAATATCTGTTGTTGTGAAATGAGAGGTGTCAAATTTGGGTCTGAAGATTTCTTATGTTTTAAAATCCTGCATTAATTCTTATGGAGAGCCGTGCGTCTAGTACAGAACCCATTGTCAGGGCAACTGCTAAATTGATGACGCAAAATCAATGATTTGACCCTGGAATGGTTGCACTTTTTCTGCAGATCCTAAGATGTGTTGAGGATGGTATGATAGTAAGTGTTCGTTGAAGATTTTTCATAATGTCTCTTCAAGCAGTGGCACTCGCGGTAAGCCCAGACCTTGAGCTTCACAACAAAAGTTGCCAATCTGTAATCAGTTTTTCTAAGTTAAAGTATCGAAAGACGGATGGGTTTTACGAATATGAGATATATATGTGACTTACGGACGTACAGACTTACAGGCTCGTACATGTGTATATTTGTGATCCATAAAATGGCTTATTCACTTCTTTAATCCAGTCACGAACTTGCTTCTTCCTTGGAAAGCGAGCGGTGTTTTCCTGTATATCTTTAAGATGTCCTCTTTTCGTTACAGCATCCGAATATGGGTGACAAGTGGTCCAATTTCTGGGCAGCTGACGTGTTGATTCGGCGAAATTCTCGCAGACCCCAAACAAAGCATGCAGGTTTACGACCTTGGTGACAGCATCTTCTTGCGGTGGTGAGGTAGTTAGGAAAGCATCCTTCGTGCAACAATTCAGCCTACCTAGGAGAGTGAAATCGACTCGTCATCTCGAGCTTAAGCTGCGTCATATTTCCAGGTACGATTTGTAGATTATAGCCGAAACTAGTGCTTCCCGTTGATTTATATGGATGTTTGGTAAATTATTTTGTCTACTTTTTGGCAGTGTGAAATTGAGCCTTTTCAGCTGACCTCGCAGACTCTTGATGTGTTCTATTCTCTGTTAACCATATTCCAGTGCAGTCAGGAAGTTTTTTTTTTGCTGCAATGTATCGACAGGCTATTTGACTCACTTTGATATCTTAGGACTTGCTCGTGCATGCAGCCGTACTGAGTTGGAATATTTGTTGCAGCTCTTCATGCTTCTATACCTCATTAGGCACGTTCCGATCAGTCAACCGGCCAGCTAGGTTGCAAGCTACGTCCTTGCAAGCCGTCACAGCAGACAGTGACTCAAGCAGTGGTGATGTCGTCGGACCTTCAGCCCAAGCTATGAGCTTGTCTTCGGTTGAATTGAACCACTTCCTGGTAGCCTTTTTAAGTAGGCTGCAGGAAGGCTTTAGGAAAATGAAAGAAAGGGGCTTACTTCAGAGCACCAAACAGGGTTTTGAGGAAGCCTTTGTAAAGTTAAAATCTGGAGACGGGAAGCTTGTATTGGAAGAAGATTTGGGCTCTAAAATCTCCTCTCAAGGAGCAGCGACGTGGCAGGCGCTAAAACCATGGGTCAAGTGGCCCTTGGCTATCTTGTGAGTGTATCGCTTCTTCTCTGTTTTTATTCTCTGATATTATCTCACTTTCGTGAAGAGCTTTTCGTCTCTTTGTAGCTTGGCTGATCGTAGAGTATTCGTCTTTCATCTTACCTGTTTTACGTTGACTCGCGCTCTAGTGGTGAAAGTAATCTATGCGCCTGTTTGGAACTATTTCGTCGAGATTGGGGCTTTGCCTCTTTTGTGATAGGAGCGAGCTCATTGTTCCTGCCGGTTTTCGTGCAGTGTTTCCGTCTTCATGGTGGTTACAGCCGTCTTCGGGACTTCGGTTTCACGCGATCTAGTTCCTCTGTGGATTCTTGGTCCTTTGGTTACAGGTACAATTATCAGAACTGTATATTGGGTTGCCGACGCTACCCGTGAAGCTGTGGTTCGCAGTGAGCCATCGCGACAAGCATTTGTCCAAGGCGTCGCCCAGGTGGTTGAAGATGCCAAGAACGGGGAGTTAGTTGACAAGATAAAGATTTCGATGGAGGAAAAAAACAGGGAATTAAGAGAGCTAGCAGCAACCAAAAGGTCGGAGTTTGTTGTGTACGTCCAGAGTGGCCAAGCAGCCAGTGACTTCAAAATGTACATGCAGCTAAGATACTCAGATTTTTCTGATTGGAGCAACGAGAGATATGAGGATTTTGTGGACTGGTGGAGACCCTTCTTGAGGGCATTTATCAGGTTAATGAAAAAATTGTTCTAGACTTTTAGATCAGAGTTTGTTGGCCTTCAGCCAAACGCAACCATCGAGCGGAAGGGTATTCAGGGAGGAAAGTAGCCCCTCGTGTATTCTTGAGCAATGTGTGAAGAGGGTTTTTTAAGTAGAAGTAGGTGCTAAAGTCAGATCTACATTGCCGGTTGACACCTTGACACGAAGGTACACGAAGCAGTCAGTAGGCTGCCGAGAGAAGAAATGAATGATGACCTGTCAAAATGCCTTGCCGCTACGAAAGATGTGGCATGTTGGAAGAATTAGAAATTAGAGCCATTCATATACAGCTGAGACATTGAAGCAGGACCAAGAGGTTAGTAGTTAGACAGTAATTATTTTCTGTTGTCTTTGATATTTCGGGCTGGTGAGATGTGCCATTGGAGGACGGGATGGTGTGAAGGTTATCATCCCCTTTGTAGACTCGAAGTCAGTTCTTCTGTACACCTTCCGAGCAAAGCAGACGCCTGGCAACATGAAACGGGAAGTTCACGTACGCCAGTCATCAAACTGCCATCTCACAGGCATCGCGCTTGGAGCAGAAAGAAAAGCTTCCACTGGTTGTGAAAGTGCTCCAGCCCTTGAGACGATAGCCAAATAAGAAATATGATATTCGTAATGCTGAGAATGAAGGATTGTTAGGATAGACCATGGGGTGTCGAACAATTTTGTATCTTTTAAGTGATATTTTCAGAGAACGGTCAAAGAGAAGCCGAAAGGATGGGGCTTTGTGAGCCTCTTATGTCGTGTGTACTCTGGGGGAGGCTACCTTACCTCATTACATTATTTGGTTCATAATCACATCAGTGTATGGCGCATGTCATCCATCGGATCAAGTTGCTTTTCGTCAGTGCTAGTGCGGGCAGCAATGAACTGTTTCTCTGTTTGCAGACATCATTTTGAGCCGTGGCCTGCGTAGTCACTATCGATTTGGTAGCCGAAGGTGAGTACTTGCTGCGATCCGGAAGTTGAGTCGATTGAACTGTATATGAAGGTGTGTTGGAAGATTCAATTAGGACAATTTAGGACTAGTGAGAGCAAGCAGTGATGTCATTTGACCAGTAAATGCCGAGCACGGCTGTCTGGTCATATTGTTGCCATGGATGTCTCAAACTGATCCTATCACAGGTTAGAATGATGCTCAGAAATTGAAACACGGAGAGATTGTAATCACGATCAGGATCTTCATAGGCAATCCACGCCTAAGGGTAATCACTCCTGGTCACTGACTACGTGCATACTGACAGGAATACCAGAAATATTCCTTCCTGTCCAGAAGTATTGCAGAAAATGTGACAAATCTTCACATCTCATCGTCAAAGCTTCCGTTCCCAGCACAAGCGGAGAGAACAGTGCTTCGACACACACGGCGAATAGAGAGTGGGAATTGAATTTATCTCGTGGAATAGGGTACACTTAACTTACGCAGGCGTAAGTTAGATATTTCATTGTTTTTATTCGATGAAAAAGTAAATAGCATGAAGGAAATAAACTCCGAGATACTTGCTTGATGGGATTCCATCAAAAATATATATGGGATTCCATCAAAAATATATATGCTTGATGGGATCCATTTGATCTAATCGAAACTTGATTAGATCCACACGTCACACTCTTCTAGTATGAAGAGACGGTGTGAAATATGGCCCGCGGTTTAGGGTCTTTTCGCGCTCGGAGAGAGGAGCGAGGAGGATGAAGCTCTAAAAGACCGCACTTCCCCCTCCTAGGGTGACTGATTCGAGAAGTGATGAAACGAGCTCGCTCGAGGAGGATGAAGCTCTAAAAGACCGCACTTCCCCCTCCTAGGGTGACTGACTCGAGAAGTGATGAGACGAGCTCGCTCGAGCGTGGGAGCCTGTGTGAAGCCGAAGGTTGTGTTGGCGGTGGTGGGCATGAGCAGCGACATTTCTGGGCTCTCTGCTGCGGGTGTGAAGTGAAGTCTTGATCGTCTCTTGCACCTCGGACTCGACGGTGCCGGAAGGGGATTGTCAGGCAGCGGATATGGAATCTCAGGTTATCCGGAGGAGCATGAGGTTTTGGCCGTGAGGGAGTATAGATAGATAATTCGATGTCGGGACGGGTGTGATGGGGAGCTCAGATTGGATCGGCAGACCGCAAGGCCCCGTTGCATTGGGTGCGTGTAGGAGGAGTTATATCGTTGCGTGCCAAAGCAAATTTGTACGGTGAGCATCATAGAATGCTCGGCTCCAGGATTTCTGAAATATGAACATGTTTTTAAAAGAAAAAATACAAGAAAAAATTCATATTAGAACATTCATTATAGTTCATCTACATCACACCTTCTGTGAGGTCCCATCGGGTAAAACCAAATTTGATGAATCACATCAAGCAAATATGTTTTTGATGGGTCTCATCAAACAAATATCTCAATAAACTCGTTACATCAGATACATTTCGAATTAAATATGACTTTTTGAATTCTTTTCATCATTCATCTATTATTGTTATACAAGATTGATTTGGTTTTCTTTTATGATGAGGAGAGAAACTTCTAGGATGAATTTTTCAGTTAGAAATCACACCAGATATTATAAGATATTTCTTTTGTAATTTGAAGTTTAAAAATAATAAAATAAAAATAAATTTTTTTCCAATTTTTTAACTTAAACAACATTTCAAATATAAATAATTTAGCTGAATTCAATAAAAAATACTATTATTTCTTTGCATCTACTTTTAAATTTTGAGATATTAATAATATTAATTAGAGATTTAATATTCAGAAAGCATTGATTTAATAAGATTTTTTTTAATAATATTAATTTATATATTTCTGTCGCATTTTTAATGTTTATTTTGAAACATGAAATTTATGAAATTTTAATTATAAAGATTTTGATATGATATAAAAAATTGTATCAAATAAAAGTGTTACCTATGTAATTTTGATTTACTGCATACAAAATTTTTGGAAATATTTATTGCTTAAATGAATATAATTCGATATAAAAACATATCTTAATAAGTGACATCTCAATCAAGAAAACTAATGAGCAGCCAATTAACACAATTATTAGTTAAAATCAACCTGTAATTTACTATTCACTTCAATTCATTTAAATGTATGTTCATAAACATTCAAACATTTTTCAAAAATTTCTCAATTCAATTATAGAAAGCATCCATAAATGTTTTTATGTAGCGCTAGCAAACTTCCGAAAATAAAAACAATCAAAGCAATCGGAGTCAACGAAAATCATGGATTTATTTTTGAAATTTGTTGATATAATTTTTGAAAAATTGGTATAAGAGTACATACAATTGTTTTGCAAAACGGGTCTAAGAGTTGCACATATTGTTAATTTTCGTAAATCAATTCGATTTATACATTAATTATCCATTTCCTCACTCATGTGAATATTAGAAAAATCAAAGTACATTGTAGCTATGCTGTATTATCACATTCAACAACATGCATAAATCTCAGCAAAGACAGATCATTTTGGTTATTGTAGGACAACACAACAATGCATGAGTATAGCTACTAAGAACATTCCAAAAATCTTCTTGGACAGTGAATACAATTAAACTTCCACGAGATAAAATGAATGTTTAGTCTAAATCTAAATCAGACATTTCTTGTTAACATTATCGATGCCATAAAACATCCAAGTACAACTTTACTCAGAGCACATTGACAAGCTCGCATGTTCGTGCCCAACAACAAATCCAGCTCCTGATTATGAATGCAATATTTTTTGTTTTGTTTATTGGAGCAAATTATCAGACGTAGTGTGCAAATAATATTCTCAAGAGATTCAGCATAATAATCCAATGTCTGTATTTTCATCGCTTTTAAAAATGACTTTGTACATTTCATTCTGCTTTATTATAGATTCATTTGAGTGTACGATAATTCTCAAAGTCTCTTTAATCGCTTTGACTCAGATTCATCACATCTCTCCTCGCTATTGATTCTAATATGTATGGCCGCTCTTGTTTGGCTGATGAAAACTCCATTTGACGCCTTAAAATTGTTGCTATATCCACTCCTTCCATGCCTACATGCATTTTACTTCATCCAATTTTTTTCTGCAAATCTTTTCGTGAGGTGATTTGCCCTCTGCTCTTCTCTCTCCTCGACAAAGTTCTTTTATGTTTCTAGATGTTCATAGGAATATTAGGGGCGAATAAAACCAAAAAATCTTGGCAATATCAATCGGGTTAATTAATTAATTGGGTTATTAAACACCCACTATTTGATGGGTTTAAGTACTGACATGTGGATGTCTCTGAAATAATTTTATCAAGCGAAAATGACATGTAAAAGTCTCTAATAAAGAGTTGCACTTTTCATAGGAACCATGTCATTAAAATCGAATTAAACCCCACTTATGTGGCCTCGGAAACATAGAATTAAACACTAAAACTCAGTAAAATCGTGGCAACCTTGAGGAATATACTTGTACCAAGGCTAGCATGGCATGGTTAAATCAAGTGGGGTTTTAGGTTAATTCGGGTTAATTTGGTTTTAATGAGGTGGGTCTTCAACAAGTGTAAGTTTCTATTAGAGACTTCCACTTGATGAAGTCATTGTAGAAAAGTAACCCTGTCAATAATTAAACTCACCAAATATTGAGTGTTATTATATTAAACCAGCAACCCGATTGATTTTACCAAGATTTATTGGTTTTATCCACCCTGACTTGTACAATGTCACATTCACTCTTCACTTTCTATAACTAATCTTTCTTGTCCGGCAATATGATGCGTTATATGGATTGACTCCACGCACCCATACTCTTCTTGAGGATTACATCCTTTAAATATTTGCGAATGTTTTTTTATTAAGCTCAACAAATATATGAACCAGCACCGTCTGCAACTTTTGATTCAGTGGGGGACCACATGTGTACTAACAAGAACGGCCTCACCCTTGGGGTCTTACTTATATCAGAAATCGGACAAATCCTTGCTCCTTGATGCAGAGATATATGCAAGAGCCTCAAAAGACCTTCGTATGCGTTGATTGCGTCTCTGACGCAATCGAGGTACACAAACGGGCGGAGCTGGGAAGCAGTTTTAATCATTTTCTCCACCAATAACAAGATCTTCACTCTGTAATGCGTTAGATTGATACTCACCCTTACCCCACCCGACCACAATTTCACAAACGCCCCGAATATAACGTACGAAAGATAGTGGACTAGCTGCTGCCACTTCTAACACAAATGTTTTGATTCATATAATATCTTTACAAATATTCTAATGTGAGTTTTCAACCCGTTGAGATGTGAGCGACATACGTTGAGCTATTTAGATTTGTATTATTACTTCCTACATGCCTCCAATCATTGAAACTTGAAGTCCAAACAAAAACCGGACCTCTGTGGGACACGTAAGCAGTGAACATTTCAGTAAATATTTAGCATCACGTTAATAAAACCTGCATTTGTGTGTGATTGTATCCAGAGAGTATTCCAGCATATTTTTTCTTTTCTTTTCTTTGTAAAACTTGAAGATTAATAGCTTTCTGTACTTCTGTACAGAAAGCTAGAAATGAAGGAACGCTCTTAACACGTTGCGAACTGTATTGAAATATCAGAACGTACTCCTTTCTTGAATCAATTGAAGTTCTGATTCAACAGTGACTAGTCTCATGCCTATCCATTATCGAATCAGCTGGACGGCTGATCCCTCGTCGATTCTTTGGCAAGAATCGACGCCACAAGAGCCAGGTCCATATTGAGTGATAGTCCAAATCTTATATAAACTCAAGGCGGCGTCTATAAATCACATTCACAGCTCTCAGCGCATCTCGCAGCTCATCTATCCATATACTCTCAGGCCCTGTGGTATCATGGCCCGTTTGGTTCTCTTCGCAATTTTGCTGGCCACTGTGGTGGCAGCCTCCTGGATCCCGCTTGCCCAATGTGCCGAGACGGTTACTTGCTACAACTCCGGCAGAAAGTTCGATCGTGCCAAGGTGAGAATCCTAATTCATTCTAATATTTCGTCACATTTCGAGTCTTAGAATTTCTACTGTATTCCTATAATGCGTTCATTGATCTGAGATTCCTGCATGGAAATCCAATCTTTCTCATTCAACCTGGGGCAAACACAGATCATCAGTGCGATCAACTCATTCTGCACCAATACCATTAATCTATCCGATGGCCAGAAGGTTGAGAGGGAATTCAGATTCCCGTATCCGGAGACCGGCCACATCGACATCTCTGCAGAGGCTCGATGCTCGATCTCAGTGAGCCCGAATGAATGTAACAGGCTGCTGCGACGACCCACAGACGAATGCAACACCGGCGGAGAGAATGGCAAGCAGGGCGGCTTCGTGGAGGACAATTGCAAGAAGTTCAAAATGGATCCAAATGCGTAGATATCGGTTTTTCCATCGCAGTCTCCAGTGCTCCGATGCCTCATCTTCATTTGAATAATTGTCAGTGAACTTTGTGTCGAGGGAACTTCCTTTGATACATCACGTCTTGAGTCAGCTAAGACTGACATTGTGAACCAATAAATTGAATAAAAAGCCGGAAACCTTTGGAATCTAACTTGTCCGTGGTAATTATTCACTTTACGTTTCTGCGTAAAACTCATGCAGAAACTTCCATATGTTGATCATCATGGCAGATTGTCTGCCGGCCAAAGTCGATGGCCTCCTACTGCAAGTTATATATGGGATGCATGATAATTCTAACTATATTACACCAATGCAATCTATCTTCAGGGAGTGCCATGTGTTTGGACACTGTACCTTACGAGTTTGTTGTTGTAAATGCTTTAGCAATAATTTTTGTCAAAAAAATTGTTCAATATTCTATATATATAAATATATTTAAACCTGAAAAATATAAGATTGAAAGAAGTAATAAAAAAAATGAGATCAAATTGATGACTTTCGTGATAATGTTATTGGTCATCTAAATCTTAAGAAAAAATAGATGATGAAAAAAACAATTCAGTTCTTAAACTATTTACATGTTTTATATCATTCTTTTTCTGAATTATTCTTATAGTAAAGTATACAAAAATCATTTTTCAATGAGTTATTAATTGCTTTGATAATTTCAATCTATATTTTTTAAATGGTTCCAAATTTTTTTAATTTTTCTATATAACATAATATATGTTACTCATGATTACTCAAATTCACAACATGATAAAAATTAAAGAACTTGGATGAAAAAATAGATTAAAAATGTGGAGAAAATTTTTTATTTAAAAAAAATATTTTAGTTTATTTCTTATGGGTGCTTAATCTTGTTATATTTTTTAAGAAAATTTCTCTTTTCAAACTTGAAAAAATTCAATATTTTTAGTATAGAAGTGGTTAAGAAAAATTTTAAAAATTTAAAATTTCAAAATTTTATACTCATTTTTTTGGGTTGAATTGTTAGATTCAAAAGACTAAAATAAAAATCAGAAGAATCTGGACTTCAAACAAACTTATCTATTATACGAGATAGCATACAAATAAAGTACTGTAAGAGTAAGATTTAATTTTAAATAAATTATTATTTAACATATAGTGAAATTTGTTGGATATTTTAGATGGAGTTACATGAATAAAAGAATTTGATGTTTATAATATATAGAATATTATAACTGCTTCATATTTTGAAACTTTATAAAAAAATTGTTAAAAATATATAATCTAAAACATTTATTCTAAACTATTATTTTTCATCATTAGATAAATAAATATATCATATTATAAATCATCTATTGATGATTTTTATTACTATTTTTTCATGTTTTTTTTTAATCTTTAACATTTAAAATTTTCAATAATTGAAGATAAAATTTAAATTAATTTTGAATAGTAATATATTTGTAGTCATAATCAAAAAAATGTAATTTGAAAAGTTGGAAATTTTTTGCAAGGTCATAATTACTGAACCTCACCTTCTCACTGTTTGTTCGTATATATAATTGGTCCTGAGATTTCAATTCTGTCGTAAATGAGTTATAACTTGCTTGAATTTATTAAGGTTGCTACATAAGTATAGATCTCGATTATTTTAATACATGTTTCATTCACTAATTAAATTTCACAAAATGTTCATAAAAAAAATTATTTCAATTGCAATCAAATTTTTTGATCTTATTTATTTGAAAATAAAAAATAATGTTTTAATAAAATAATGAAAAATTTTCATTTCAATTGGATTAATTCACAATTTTTTTAGAAAAAATCATAAACAATAAGAATGACAAGGAATATAGAGTGGAAAATACAACAATTCATAATTTGATATTATTGAGTACGACAACTCACACAATACTCAAACAGTTGTAACTAGTATTACTACTAGTAGTATTGATATTTGATGCTCAAGTACAACTGATGTTGAGGAGGGTGAGTAACAATGTACCAAGACTTTTTTATTTCTAATGTTAAGAAAATTCTGAAGTTGCAAAATGACAATGCCATTAAGTTGGAAAAGGTTAAACCATCTCTCAGTTTGGGAATATTCAATCCGCTGCTAAGTTCATGAAAGTCCTAACCATCTCTCAATTTGAGGTAATATCAAAACTCATCTTATTTTAGTAAAATCCTCCTGTGCCCACTAGTTTGAGGATAAATCAAAACGTCTTTCATCTTGGAAAAAACCAAAATTCATCTTAACTTTCCTCATTCTTCTTGACGTTTTTTAAGTTTGGAAAATTCTGAATTGCCTTCCAATTTGAAATTAATCAAACGGTTGTAAACTTTAAAAGCAATCAAACCTCACCAACATTGTTTGCAACCTTGGTAATATCATACCCTTTCAAGCAATGAGTTTCCACAAATTTTTTTATTTACCTTTGTATTATCTTATCAATAATACAAAAAAGATAAAATTTTTATGAGAAGTCCATGTGATTTTTACATGATTACACACTTTAATGCTTATATCCAAACGTGTGAGATTAAAGATCTTTGGCAATTGGTTTTGTCAAATATTTATGATAAAATGTATCAATTATTTTGGACACTTTAGCAAGATTAGCAACAAATTTCCAATTTTGATTGCTTATTTCATAACACATCCAATCTACAAGATATTCTTAATTTTTTTGATTTATGTTGGACTTGATGATGTTAGAAACTTCAAATTCTTTTTCTTTGTTAATCTTGATTGATGGCGGAGGTGCTGACAACCGTCTTGGGATATTCGATTTTTTATACGATTCAAGCAAGTAAACATGAAACAATGGATGCATTTTCATAGATGATGATAGGTTGAATCTATCTGTTATCTTATTGACTTGGCTACTTACACAAAAAGATCCAAGAAGATGGTCAAGTTTGTAGTTTAGTTTGTAAGTATCAAAATTGCAACACAATACTACTATACACTAGTTTTACATGTCTGATGTCTAATATTGCTTCATTCTTGGAAAAAATCAACATACTATGAAGATAACAGACAACAAAATTGTCTAGAAATTGTTTAGAAATGTTGTTCATCAAATGCTGAAAGACGGCATGTGAATTGGTAGGAATACAAAAGATGATATTGTATTCAAAGTGTTCATAACTAATTTGCAACGCCATCTCTAATTTGTCATACTCCTCAATATGTACTAGGTTGTACGTTCAACAAAGATCAATCTTGATGTGAATTTTTGCTTGATTGAGTTAGCCAAAAAGCTCTAAAATAAGAAACAATGAATTTTGATTTTGATTGTGATCTTTTTTAATCCACGATAGTACACGCACATCCAAAAATAGAATTTTTTTTTCTTGAAAAATAGTATAGGATCTCTAGCAAGTGACTTAGAATGTTGAATGAAGTTGTTTGCAAGATTTTCATCAAGGTAATCTTGTTATGCGGCAAGCTTGTTCTGTGAAGAGTTGTAGATTGGACCAAAAGAAGATTGTTGTGAGTAGAATATGAAACTCACATGTATTATTAATATCATAAAACGTAAAAAATTAGATTTCATTGTTTTACGTAATTATAGTTTTGCAATTTGGTGATGATATTGGTGAGTATGTATTGGAGCGGTTGGCAAGAGAAGATTAATTATTAGATAGTGTAGAATTAATGCTTGCTAGTTTGTTTGATTGTTTTAGTTGGCCAATGTATGAACAAGCAGACAACACTATCGATGATGAAATAAATTGTCAATGATTGAAAACTGTTCATGATAAATTTTTAACATCATCTAAAACAAAAATCTTCACGACATTGTGTAAGGAAAGCGAGTATTATACAATGAAGAATTTTTTTGCCAAACTCAAGTGCAATGGAAGGTATTGGACTTTGAGTGACATGAGTAATAGAATAAAATTGAATTAAGAAGATGGTAAGAATTGGCAAGAGAAAAGAAAGTGCAAGTTGTGATATAAGGCAAAGAAAATGTGAATCTGAAATCAATAGAATTGGAGCCATTGTAATATGCAAGAAGAAGGAACAAATGAATCAAGGTAACGCAAAGTGTTTAAAACCAAGGAACGGAAAAGAAGATGTTGATAGTAGAAAATCCTAATTGGAAAATTTTACAAAGGAAGGAAAATAGTTTAACAGGATAAAAGATTGTAGCTTGATTAAACATTATGATGGATGGGATTCAGAACAAAATCTAGAATTTGAACACGTGTTTAGAGCTTGTGGATTTAGAATCTAATGGGATTCAAAATAGAAATTAGAATTCAAACACGGGTTCAAAGCTTGTGGATTTAGTATTTAATGGGAGGCAAACAAAATTTAGAATTTGATTAGAAGTTCAAAGCTTGTGGATTTAGAATCAAATAAGAATTAAAAAAGTTTTAGAATTTAAACACGGGTTTAAAATCAAATACAAAATCATTTATGGTGTGATTTTTTCATATTTTTGTCAAAATCAAATAAGTAATCATCTGATTGTCTGCTCGATGATCATCAAAGAAAGATTTTCACCGACATCATAATCATTTGAAATACTCTTACTGTGCAAGAGATGATGTTGTTCTAAAATTGATTTGACAATGCTAACATTGTCAGCATGGTTGTTGCCAATAGCATCAACAACATTGATTTCAATAAGATTTTGGTCAACTTCTTCTAAACTTATGTCATCAAGATTCAAGAACGTTAAAAAAGAATGATTGAAATAAAAGTTTTTAGCTTAAGGAAGTCAAAGATACTAAACTTTGGTTTTCCAATGTCCGGATATAATATATCATCAATGCAATTGATGTTAGTTTGATGCATGACTATCTCGCACATGGAATGTGGATTTTAAACACGGATTGTACACTTGAGTGTGAATGTAACGCTTCACTTGCATAATAATGATGCATTTTTTTATAGCGGCTTCTTATTCTTAGTTTATGTCAATTATGCCTTGTTTGTTATCCTCACCTTATGTTAATTATTACTCACTTTACAAAAGAGAAGTACTTTTCTTCAACATAAGCCATGTGAATTCACTTTATGCTAATTATCACTCACCGTGCAAAAATTATATATATTGCTCTATCTTTAATGTAAATCTTGGGAATTACCAAGAAATTCTAGCCCATAGTAGCAAGTGTATTAGTCATTTTCATGATCATCAAACTTACACACTCAAACATTCAATACATTATGACTAAAGTTACTCTTTTGTTATGCATGTATGTTTTTTTGATATGCTAGGGTCATAGCAACAACACGTTTTTTAACATAAGTTCTCGATCCGCAACAAAAGTTATTGGGTACAACATCAAAATCGTTTAAAAACTGATTTAATATTGCTGAGTAAAAGATAATCAACATAAAGTAACAAAAGTTACTAGAGTAACACCAAAATTGTTAAAAACTGATTTAATATTGCTGAGTGAAAGATAATCAACATAAAGTGACAAAAGTTATTGGGTCAACACCAAAATTGTTAAAAATCGATTTAATATTGTTGAGTGAAAAATAATCAACATAAAGTGACAAAAGTTATTGGCGCAACACCAAAATTGTTAAAAACCGTTTTAATCTTGCCGAGTGAAAAATAATCAGCATAAATTGAGGAATAATGAGACATTTTTTAATTAGCTATAATTTCATCTAGAGCAAAGCCTAACATTGGGTGACCATGCCCATATCCATTCATGATTTTAGGTTTTGAATGACATAATTCTTTCCATGGATGGTCACAAATAATGCTAAGGGGAGTGTTCATACATCCAAGAATTGGTGTAACTGAGTAATACACATAACACAATTGGCATAATTTGAATAGCATGGATGGGCAAAAGTAATGCTATGGGTGGGATTAGAACTCTGCTCATGGTTATGATTTGGTATAGGTGTAGATTTGAAGTGATGTTGTACTCTGATCTAGAGTGCAATTTTCAATCTAATGTAATTATTCATACACTTAAGACTTTGATTAAAATAACTGACGTGATTCATATACAACAATAACATCTATCTCAATTTTGCTTCTCATTGCACAATTTGTTGAATTGAGTATTTTATAAATCAGCATATTGATATGAACTAAACATCTTTTCACCAATAAGTTAAAATTTAAATTCAATGCAATATTTTTAAACAGTACTATTCAGGTCTATGAATCTTAATCTAAAATATATAGTTTTACAAATAATAAATTCCAAGTTTCTTTCCTGAAGCTGGTGGGAGGATTTTAGAATAATGAAAAATATGTTTCAATTGAATATAAGAAGAGAGCGTGTTGAATAATACTCATCTATATATCATCAAAATATTTGTTTGTTATTACTTGTTTCAAAATTTTTGAAATTGTATAACTCAACATCATATTGCAATAGACTTTTGTGTAATCTAGTTTATTTACAGTAGAACCTCTATAATCTTATCAAGCTGGGACAGGCCCTTTTTGATAAGTTTATAGAGGTGATAAGTTTATTTAAAATTGATTCATTTAATTTTGTTTGATTGGTCTCATAACCATCTGGAAGGTTGCAGAAAAGTATGGAAGGTTACGGCAAGGAATGCAAGACCTCGAAAAGACATAGAAGTTGTTTGATACCCAGGTTCCGTGTGTATTGGCTGTGGTATTGTAATGGGGTGTGTAGGGCACTGTATCCTGGGGTACTGTATACAGTTGTATTGTGTAGAAGAAAACTTCTCAAAATGTAAACAACTTAACCCAGGAAAATCCCTAACCCACATCAGATACTTAAGCAGCCAACAAACAAATGTGAACAAAAGCTTAGGCAGACAACCATTACAAGTTTCTTTAGTCGATCATAGTCGTACAAATATAGCTCGAAAAGCACATCAACCTCAATATAAGTTCATAAAAAATTCGGGGCAGCCAAAACTTGATAAATTATAAGATTATAAATTTTTGGCCTGGTCCCATGCCGGGACCGCACAATTTGATAAATTTTCGGAGTATAAATTTATAGAGGTTCTACTGTATTAAGAGATAAGTCAGCATAATGACCGTGAACTTACAGATCTATTGCTTGAGGTTTTATAAGATGCTTAGAAGCACAGAAGTAATTCGATTAATCTAGTTTCGATTAATCTAGTATCATATGAAGAATAAAGGTTTAGTCTTTACTTATGTGAAACACTTCTTGACCAGTGAATCAAGAATTCTGCGTGATAATTAATGGGCGTACACACTAACACTTTCGGTTTTCGGAATTGTGGGTCGTGCGGATAATCTGAACGTTCGGACTGTACTTAACTTGTCGCTCTCTCGAGGATCATAAAAATCATCGTGTTTTGATATGGACATCTTGTACCGAGATTCCTTGTTCCTTAATTGCTCTCGTTGACTTGTTAGGAAGTTTTGACATTGCTTATAGACTTACGATCTAGTCCTGGTTAATTTAAGATGTAAAATCGATTCACTAGATAAAACAAGCGTAAAATGTCAGCTGTCAGTGTAACTTCACCATCTGACTCATGGCCTACGTTCTGTATTTTGGCGTTTTCTCCAGCCAGAATTATCTGGTAGACTCGCCTGATGAACACACTGCACTGCGCCAGAATCTCGAGAACAAAGAGAACAAAGTCTTCTAGGCTCCAGTTAGCGGTGTCCACCGTCCTATTATTTTACTACTAGCATGTACGATAGATGCAATCTGAAAAGGAGGACCGAATCGACAAATCAATCTTCTGAGGAACCTAAGGTTTACATAGGACGATTGAGCAGAATTTTAAGTGGCGTGATGGTGAGGACCAAAATTGTCATGGCACTCTTACACAAAATGATGAGACACAAGTACAGGCATAAGATTTGAGAACTCACAAAAGTGAGAAATGGACGGGTATTCATTAAGTATTCATATACATCTCTATCGAGACAATGCTGTCTCGGTTGATCAAGCTGCTGGTCCTCGCAAGAAACTCCAGTCTTCTTGTGAGACTGCTCTATAAGTGAATCTAATAGTTGAGACCGATTTCTGCGCTCCTGATATCGTGATGCAGCTACTTTACAAGCGTTGTGTCATCAAATTATGTACTGTGTCATCCAGTGACAAGAAACCATATGAAGCACCTTTGTACATTGCCTAGACTGACGAGGGCGAGGTTGAGTCGTTCTCTTCGACCTCGAGTGCTCATAATTGTCCACAGTCCGTTATCTTGATCTGCTTCGATGTTGTTCCTTCTTTGCTGCCTAATGCTTCCAATTGGTCCAAAACGTCTTTGCCTGCATTCACCAGCCGGGATAGAACGAAATTGAGTATTCTGGGATATGTAGAGTATTTCAGTTGTGCAAACCTTAAAGATCGTACCTGATTAAACCTACGAAAAGGAGATATGCCATAAATTTTATGAGGACGCAGTTCGATACTGACCTGAGACTACTCTGCCAAATACAACATGCCTTCCATCCAAGCTTGAGCAGTCACCTAACACGATAAAGAATTGCGTACCTGGCAAAACAAACTCATGTCAGAGATCGACAGAGCTGACTGACTACTCTACTAGAGTATTCAACAATCACAAACGACACGGGTGTAAAAGGTATCAGACTGAGGCCATGGCTTAGCAGTCACCGTTTGCAGAATCTCTACAGAAAGATGAATTGAACCTCCGGATCACAAAATCAAATTTCTACTGAGGTGTGTTGCCTTCTTTCTCGTCTCAATAGTCTGATGCGCTTCCGATCCACGGGTGCTGGAAGTCAGGGTTCAATGTGTTCCAAACCTGGAATGTAAGAGAAACATAGAATTTTACCATTTGTATGGGGCCCATTGTTCGCCATAGAGACAACACCAACTTGATTGTGGAGAAGCTTAAAATTTTCATCCTCAAACTTCTTGCCGTATATTGACTTGCCGCAGTCACCTCCCTGCTCATGACGTTGAACAGAAAAATCAGAAAAAAATCACATCCCTGATATACACAAGATCAGGTACTTGGAGGAAATCCGGCTAAGATTCAGAAGCAAGAAAGTCATGATTCCACGACTCTAGTCGAAACGGTGTCCAGGAGCGTTATTCGCTCAGGATCTTGCTTTAGGACGGTTATGTACGATTCTAGAAGTTACAGCGAGCAATCATAATGACCGATGATAAGCCTGAACATGTTGAACGGGTCGAAGTGAAGAGTAGATTTTAGTGACAAACTTCAAACACGCGTCAGCGATACTAGTCAGATTTAACTTCCATTTCTTTCCCAGCGAGGGTTATGATCATCCACTGAAGCAAATGACAGCAAGGAAAAAGAAACCGTGTAGCGTTAAAATGGCTCTACGCCTTTGACATCACTTCGCTAAACATCATGAGAACACTATATGTTGTTTGAATAATCTCCTGATTGGTTCTGTACTCTATCATTCTGTTGCAATCTCAGAAGCTACAAAGTACGTTTTGTCTTCGATGCATCACAGAAAATTAGTCCGTTATGTTGTTTTTCACATCACTCCAAATTGGGTTGCGGAGACACGAAGCATGCAATGTGTTTCCCTGCTAAATTTCCTCTTGGATCTCTGTGGAGTCAAAAGTACCTTCAGCACAAAATTGGGCTCGCCTCCAGGTAACATGAAAATCTCTTTGGGTGGCTGTAAGATTGAGGTGCTCATTGGCTGTACAGAGAAAAAGGCCAAAGGGAGGAGCATGTTCTGAACGGTTGGAATGGCACTGTAATGCTTGAAATGCAGAAGCAACCAACTATCCTTGCATGTCTTCCTTCATCTTATTTCTCATTCCGAAAAATCCGTCCCGACACATCATCTGCAAGTGGTGCCATCTATTACAGACAGCGATCTGATTACCGTGAAATTTGTAGCTTCTCAATTCCACCCCTCTTAGGAATTTTCAGGACCTTATGGTGCCCTCTCACACAATTACTTCTCATTTGGCTTCCTTTGACGGACCTTGAAGTTCAGCAGGCGAGTAGCAGTCTATTACACACTAATTGAAAGACCAGGGAAGGCGAACAGCTCAATGTGATAGTGAACTTACCTGAGCCATGAACCCTGGAACGACGCGGTAAATCAATGATCCCTTGTAAGAGTTTCCATACTCGCCTGTACATAGACCAATAAAGTTTTTGGCAGTCTTTGGCACAACATCCTCCCGCACCTCGATAACAAGTCGACCGATTAAATTGCCATCAACAGAAATGTCCATCCAGCATCTCGGATTGGGCATAGACATAGCGCAACCCATTTCGAAAGTTCGCTTTCTCGCCGCCAAGCTTTCCTGTCAAGATCCAAAGCTTTCATGTCATGCACCAAAAAAGACTTCACCCTCGCGAGCCATTTAAAATTCCAAGTTTTTCTGTCCCCAGCAATCAGCGCGAAGAATTCAACCGCAGAGCCCAATGCGCGCTCTGTCGTCGACTCGAAATGCAGATCTTCGAGTTGCAGGATCGCAAATTGCCCATACCTCTAGAGAATATGCAGCTCAGGAACGAGAGGCGCGGCTCACATGCCCGAGGGAGAGCGAGAGCGAGCCGATTCCGTTCCTCCGTTCAAGCACGGGCATTGCGACTCGCACGAGAATCCATCTGCGGTTGCCTCCTGAACTGACGACTCGCATCGTCTCTCCGCAAGCTCATCGTCTCTCGGAGGGAGGGCGGTCGGGCGGACTGTCGAACTCGTCGCAGCCTCGCCGGCGCGTTCCGCGTCGAGAGAACGAGCGCTCGGACGTGACAGATCGATCGAATAGCGCAGAGTCGCAGGATCGCCCCCCGCCCCAACAGAGGCCACCGGCAAACCTCGTTCCGGACGACACAGAAAGAATCTCCCGGCCCCCGCTGCTCCTGAAGCCAGAGAGGCGCTCCAGCCAGCGAATCCTGCTTGTCCACAATCGGATCCAAATCACGCACCTCCCCCTCCTGAACGAAGGGAACGACCGACTAATATAGCGGAAACGATGGAACACAGGGAGGCAACCAACCGGGTAACACGCAACAAGGCAAGGCCGCAACAGCATCGCACTGCGACTGCGTCTTACTGAAACTGAGACTGTCGAACCACCACGTAATCGGCGCACGAGACTTCGGGCCGCCCGAATTCTGTCTCTGACATTCCCGTTCTGGTTCGCTCCCATGACCGGTTGAGTTCCGTCCCGTCTCCGTTCCCCGTCCGGTTAGGGCTGCCTCCGGCAAAGAGGGTCTCGGGTCCCGGCCCAGTCAGTCTCCAGTGCCGTGGACTGCGCAGTGAGATCGCGAGAACAACCTGTACCGTGGAACAGACACGCAGTGGGGTCAGTTGGGCATGGTAGCGGTAACAAGCGTACGGACGGAAGTTCGCGCTGGCAGGTCGAGGGGCAGAATGGATGGGATAATAAAATAGATATAATTGGGAGCAGCTAAGGACGAAATTCTTTCATCAGCGACTGGTCTGACCCGACAACAGGAGCGACGACTGGCCCAGCTGGCGCAACTGGATAGCACCAGATGACCGAATTGTGTGTTCTGCAAGGTGCGAAGTCAGTTTAGGCGAATCAGGACGAATGGCATAACTTTCTTCCAGTAATGCAACAAGTACGGTACTCTTTTGGAACGCTTTTGGAGGAAGTCCACTCATTGGTAAACATGTTTCGCCCCGGAAGCAATGCTTATGAATTGTTTGACGTTTTATGCTAGGCCTTTTGTTTTCTTTTTTCACTTTCAAAAAAAAGATAATTTGAGAAACTCAAGGAAGAATTTATCAACACCAATAAAGATGAAACAAGCTGCAGGGAAAGATTTCATCACTAACAAAGATGAAACAAGGGGAAAAGGGAGATTACATATATGTCTTGTATTTCAACTCATGTATCTCCCAAGTGGAAGTCAAATGCTCTAAGTATTGATCAAATTTTTCCTTAAGCATCATCTAAGTGATTCAGTTATTATTAATTTTGCAGCAAGATGTTACATGTAAAAAAATTAATACATATCATTCAAAATACTATATATAAAATAAATAGTAAAATTATAATTATTTTTTCTATAATGAAGGTTCATAAAAAAAATTTGTTTTAGATGATTAGATTATATACAAATCATCCATATGAAATTCATTGAGAGCACACATAATTAAACTTTTCAAAGTTGTATCAAATGTAAAATAAATAATCGTAGTATTGCGTTTATATGATATTTATTTATGATAAAATCATGAAAATAGTTATCTTCATCACTTTTCAGAATGAAATTAAAATAAAATTTTTGGATTTAAGGTTACAAATTGATTAATTTTTTTCTAATATATCACAATCACGTTATATTTTGGATTAAAATATGATAATCAACGTCTCAAAGATAGTACAATTTCAAAATAATTTAGAATAAGTATAAAAATTTTCAACATTTATTTCAAATTAATTCCATAACAACATATGTTCAGATCTATAATAATAAGATTTAGATATGTCTTTGTATGACTCAAATTTTTTATAAAATCCACAGGAATGTTAAGTTAAATTCAAATCGTCAATTAATTAGAATTTCAATCGTGATTAATAAAAACAACATAACGTAACTTATTCCCTCAAATATTGACGATAAAAATACTTTTATTGTGGATGTAGTCAAGTGACAAATTATGTTACTTTTTGCTTGTGCATTTATTGTTTGTGCTTTTGGGTGAATTAGTTTATAAATAGATTTTTTTTTATAATAAAGTCTAACTAACACATAATACATGAAAAATAAAAAATAAAAATACACATTAAAATAATATGAAAAATAAATGTAAAAATTTGGATGATAATCATTGTGTAAAAAATATATTGCATTTTACACAATGAATATCATCCAAATATTTACATTTATTTAAAATACAGTATGCTTAGGAAAAAAAATCATGTAAAAATTTATGTTAATAACTTTTATATAAAAATTAATAATATAAGTTTTATATTATATTTATAAGTAATATTATAAGTTTTATTATATATTTAACTTCTAGATATTTGTGTATTTCATTATATTGCATTCACTTACAACTAGAAGTAATAGGTAACATTTATGTATTTAAACACTAAAAAAATCATAAAATGTTGAGAGTCTACCTACATTTCAAAATGTATTCAAAGAAATTAGTGTACAACACAATCTATATCAGGTAGAAATTAACTAACATTTATATTCTATTGAAAACATAGACAAATATTGATCATGTTCCATGTTTATTTGATGTTGTTCTGTCGTGCGAATACGTGTCGACATACATTGCTGGCTCTCTTGAATTGATAGAATCCTCCAAAGAATTGATACGGCTCTCCGTACCCTCCTTTGCACCAACCTACACGTGAAAAACTTTTCCATGTGCATGGGCTGCAACTCTAGTTGACACTCTTGTCGCGTCCCAAGAACTCCAAGGATGGCGACCTAAACCCTAAACTCTCGAAAAAAAAACCTCACATAAAATCTTGACACACCGACGGATTCGGTGTACTAACGATTAGTTCTTTGGGTGAAATAAACGCGATGTTCCCCACTAAAAAATGCGTAAGTCTTAACTACGCCACTGGCATTAAAACTGTCACAAACATAAGTCGAGCCCAACCCACTCCAAAGAGACTCCAAGTCGACGCTTCCGGGCAATTGCACAACTCCCAACGCTAATAGACTCGTCTCGAAGAACCAAATTTCTTCGAATCGTCATCGACTTTAAACACTACGTGAATTGTAAAACCGGGTGTTGCACATATGTACTAAGTGTCAGAAGTGGTCAAGTGATTAAGGATGATTAGCCATGGGATAGCTAAGTCTAGCTAGTTATGACTAAACTAGTTAGTTATAACTAAGTTTATCTAATCATAACTAAGTTTAGCTACAATGTCTATAGTTGGCGGAATGATTAGCGGAGTTCTAAAAGAATGAAGTGAGCACTTCTATTTTGTCTTTTACAAGGGGTGAGGACTTCTATTTTGTCTTATACAAAAGTTCTAGATTCCAAAGGATTAGATATTTGACTAAAAGCTTGGATTTGATTGGTTAGACTAAAATGTATAAAAGATGATTGGCTAGACTAAGTCTAGTTTTGAGTTAGTGGCTAAGAAGCTTGTAGAAGTTAAAAAGTTTCCAATGACATGTCGCCACCTCAACCTTGGATTCCGGAAACTTCTAGAAGGTTTAGCTAGGCCAATGGCATGTTGCCACATAGAGAGTGTTAATCAAACTTACCTAAGTAAAAGTAATTTAGGAAAAATTACCACATGTTACTATGGTAACTTCTCAAGTAGTATAAATAGAGAGGTAGAGTAGCACCTCTCAAGCAAGTTTGGAGAGTCATGTGTGAGGACTTGTTTCAGGAATGAAGGAGTGAAGTTTTTGAGTATCTTGGAGTATTGACGTGTGTTTGCGTTTATGTGAAGAGAGTGATGTGAGGAGAGTTTATGTGTGAGTTGGAGTGATACATGGAGAGTTTGAGAGAGAAGGTGTTTGGAACATGAATGTGAGGATGAATCCTAGTCTTCTAGAACCATGAAGCGCTACTGCAAAGCTATCAGAGGTAAACCTGAGTGAGAGTCAGCCCGGAGGTTGCACAACAAAAACTCTAGCTTGAAGTCTATATTTAGTAAAACCAAAACTACATGACAGTTACTTCATTGAGCGATTCTGACGCTGTCTATAGACAATGTGTGTATATATATATATATATATATATATAGACTATTGAGTCACAACTGTGATCTTTTTCAAATCTGTTGTTTCTCGCTCACTACCGTTTGATCGTTTTCTTTTCCACATTCCATATAGGCTTGTCGACATCGGCAAATGTCATTCCCGGAGAACTACAATATTCTCTCAATGCTCTTCTCTAGTTTGTTTGCTCGGTGAATTCCTTGATGTCATCATATTCTTTCACATATGCAGAATTTTAAAGTACGTTCTCTCTCGATCAAATGCACTCGGACTTGGTTATATTCACATCTTGTTAGCAATAGCCAGCCCAAAGATCTATTCATTCCAAGTAGTAGAATGGACAAATTTGCTAAGTTGAGTCTTGTCCAACTCCTTGCTTCATACTTTGCCAGTATTGCACGAAGTTTCATGAAATAATAATGAAAATCATCGAGGAAAAATCTCATATTGTCAACAAAGAGTAGATAGTCATAAATTATACAATCCTTGAATTTTGAATCTTTAAAGCTTTTGTGAGCACAAAATGCTGATCACTTGTCATTTTTATATTATAAATGTTAAAAAAATATATTTCCTTATGAGTTATGTTTTTAAATATACATGTTGTTATGAACAAACTTGTGCGTTGGAGCAATGGCTAAGAGAGGCACCAAGGGGATAGTGTTTCGTCGACATTCCGTTAGGGAACGCGGGGCTTGTCTGGTCACAAGGAGAGAGATAGCATTTTGGAATGTGTCATGTGGTTTTGTCTTTTGCTAAAAATAGACATCGAGTTAGGGTTTCAGGTTGCGAAGGGTATAGTGTCGAAGACGAATCAAAGGACGTCAGTTCTTTGAGTGAAAACACGTGGTTTTTACCATTGAAAAACTTGTCAATTTCAATTACCTCACTGGCACTAAAACGGTCACAAACATAAGTCGAGTTCAACCCACTCCGAAGAGATTCCAAGTCGACGCTAACAGGCAGTCGTTCTACTCGCACTACTCCCAACGCTACAGGCTCGACTCGAAGAACTGACGTTCTCTGAGTCATCTTTGATCCTATATACTTCGCGATCTGAAACCTTGGATTGACGTCTATTTTTAGCAAAAGATGAAAAAAGACATGTATTCGCACGACAAATGAAAGTGATCAAATTCTTCCAAGAGAGAAAGAAGATAGCGTTTCAAAAAGAAAGAAGTAAACATTTTGAAAGGAAAGTGATATAATTTTTCCGAGAGTAAAGTAAATGTGTGAGCTCAAAATGATTGTTC